GTACGGCAAGGCTGTTGAGGGATTTGAGAAAATGGAACAGCAGGTGTTGAAACAGGAGGCGGCCAGGAAGTAGATCAACAGTATATATAACGACTATGATGAGAAGATAATTCAAATTAGATTTGTGTGAAAAAGACTTCTTTTGTTGGTTCTTTAACATGTGAACATATTCAAAACATTAAAACCAAGTGTCTCGACTAGTAACATGAGATATATATGAGATATTTAATGGATGCTGCCCAGTTGATGCCAATTATGCCTGATTGTGCGGGCATCAAAGGCCACTTCGGGCGAGGCACGTCGCCCCTTGCCCTTTCTGGGCCACACCCGTTCAGCTTGACGTCCGCACAAGAAATGATTCATCACAACAAGTCTCAATTTCTTTCCCCTCCATCAACGTCACTGTCATCGAGCTCTGAGGCTAGGCTAATCCTTTCGTACTCCTGAACCCGCCTTTCATTGTCACACTTTATCATTGTATACATATCAGGATATTAAGTCCTAGTGAAGAGTTCGCGTGAGTGAAGGCCTGATCTCCACTGAAAGAAATTTTTTTGTCCTATCCATTTTACCCGAATAATAACTGGGGCTCATGATAAGCTAAGGCGCCCACAGGCAAAGCCCCCTTCGAAACACCGCCCGATTATTAGTATTATTATTTTGATGCTGGAACTGAACCTACTATGCATAGTTCGATAGCCTACTGACCCTCCTCTGTGCTATGACTCTCCACCGCCGCTGATTCTGATCCCAACAAACCACTATTTCTTGAATCACTACTATTTTCGCTTTCAGAGTCCTCACGACTCCGAAGGTAGCCCCGGCTGGTGGAAGATGGAAGAGCAGGTGAGCAATATCATGCCAACCCCTGTGGCTTTTGAGTCCGTCTTCACAAAAGTGGGAGAAAATTGAAAAAAAGCCACCCCACCACCCTTCCCCTCGCGTGCCCCTCCGTAACCTCCCCAATGTCTACGTATTCCAAGAGCAACGAGGATTTTACCGGACGAGACTAGCCTAACAGTATACTGTCTAAATAGGTAGCAAATGCAATTGAAATCGCCTCGAATCCGTCCGCAGACCCAGCCCTTAAGACGCAAGCCTTCGAATTCGTGAACCAGCTTCGCTCCGACCCGTCGGGATGGCAGGTCTGCCTTTCACTGTTCACACAAACTCCCCAGCGCTCGGGTATCGTGAGGCATGTGGCTCTGGAAGTGGTCAATAGCGCTGCACAGGGCGGTTTGATAGACTTGGGGGCCCTAGCGTACGTCAAGGATGGCCTGTTGGCGTATCTCCGGCAGGTCTACGGACAGGACGCAGGAGCATCCGACCCTCCGAACATCCAGAACAAAATCGCCCAAACCATCACCTTTCTCTTCTCTGCACTCTACGCCAGCGGGTGGGAATCATTCTTTGATGATCTCCTCAGCCTGACCCACAAAAGCCCCTCGAGCACGACACGCGACAACGCATCCGGAATTATCTTCTACCTTCGGGTTATCAACTCTATCCACGACGAGATTGGTGATGTTTTGGTCTCGCGATCTCGCAATGAACAGGACAAGGCCAATGCGCTCAAGGACCTTATTCGGCAGAGGGATATGCAGAAGATCACCAGCTCATGGCAACAGATCTTGTCGGAATGGCGGGACGGCAACGACGTAATTGTGGAGATGTGCTTGAAGGCTGTCGGCAGCTGGGTCAGCTGGATTGATATCGGTCTTGTGGTGAACCAGACAATGCTTGATCTTTTGTTCCAGCAGCTGGGCCGGGCGCAGAAAGAGGATTTGAGACAAGGAGAAGAGAAGGTGCGGGATGCAGCGGTCGATGTCTTCACGGAGATCATCGGCAAAAAGATGAAACCGGAGGACAAGACCGACATGATTATCTTCCTGAATCTCGATACTATTGTTTCTCAACTCTCGAATAGCCCCCCTCTGCACGGAAATAGGTTCACCTTCAAATATGATACGGATCTGGCGGAAACCGTCGCCAAGTTAGTCAATATCACTGTCATTGATATTGTACGGGTATTGGAACAGGAAGGCGTCTCGGCTGAGTGCAAGGAGAAAGCCAATGGGCTGCTCCAGGCTTTCCTGCCACATATCCTGAGATACTTCTCCGATGAGTATGACGAAGTCTGCTCAACGGTCATTCCGTGCGTTAGCGACCTCTTGACCTATCTAAGAAGAATCGCCAAAGTCAACCCCGCCCTTGCTTCCCAGCATTCTTCGGTCCTCCTTCCGATATTGAAGGCTATCATTGCCAAGATGCGATACGACGAGACCTCCTCATGGGGCGAGGAAGATGAGCAGACGGACGAGGCAGAATTCCAAGAACTTCGCAAAAGACTTGGTATTCTTCAGCAGATGATCGCTTCGGTCAATGAACAGCTGTACATGGAAGCTCTGTCAGAGATGGTGGCAACGACCTTTGAGAACCTGCGGCAGTCGGGCTCCCAAATGGACTGGCGTGACCTGGACCTTGCCCTACATGAGATGTTCTTGTTTGGAGATCTCGCAGTCAAGGCCGGAAGTCTCTACACCAAGAGTAATCCCAACAACCAGGCTGCCGAAAGGCTCATCGAAATGATGTTGAGAATGGTCGAGTCTGGTAGGTACATCGAGTGGATAATCTCCGTAATCGGGCTAACAACTTTTAGACATTCGTTCATTCACCCATCCGGCAACGCAATTGCAGTATATGGAGATCTGCGTGCGCTATAGCTCATTCTTTCATCACCATACCCATCTAATTCCAGGTGTGTTGGAGAACTTCCTTCAACTCGTTCACCACCCTATCAAGAAGGTGAAGACTCGCTCTTGGTACCTTTTCCAGCGATTGGTCAAGCAACTCAGACAATACGTTGGTAACGTCGCGCAAACCGTTGTGGAGGCCCTTGGCGATCTTCTGGTTATTCGCGCCGAACTACCTTCGGAGGGATCTGACGGTGATGAGATGTCTTCGGAGGACCACGAATTAGCCGACGCCATCTTTAACAGCCAGCTGTATCTTTTCGAAGCTGTCGGTATCATCTGTTCGACTCCCACCGTCTCACCAGATAAACAGGTCCTCTATGCGCAAGCGGTGCTCAATCCTATATTCCTCGACATGGAAAAGAACCTGGGAGCGGCGAAATCACAAGATGAACGAGCCATTCTGCAGATTCACCATGATATCATGGCGCTGGGAACCCTTGCCCGCGGATTTTCAGACTGGATGCCTGGAACGAACACGCCCGCTACTCTACCTGCACCCGAAGTCTCAGCAGCCTTCAATCAAGTGTCGGAAGCCACGCTGGTTGCATTGGAGTCTCTGAAGTCGTCATTCAACGTTCGGACAGCTGCCCGGTTTGCATTCTCGAGGCTCATCGGCGTCCTCGGATCTCGAATTCTGCCACAATTGCCAAGGTGGATTGACGGCCTCCTTACTCAGACTTCTTCGCGGGATGAGATGGCCCTGTTCCTACGTCTCCTAGATCAGGTTATTTTCGGATTCAAGGGCGAAATCTATTCCATCCTTGACACACTACTCACCCCCTTCCTGCAACGAGTGTTCTCCGGAATCGCCGATCCCACAACGGGCACGGACGATGAGATTCAACTGGCCGAGCTGAAACGGGAATACCTGAATTTCTTGCTGGCTGTTCTGAACAATGACTTGGGCGCTGTCATCATCAGTGAAAGTGAGTCCTTATCACCAGCAGTCGGTGCTTGTTCCTAGTATAAGCTAACCCGGTCCCAGGAAATCAACCCATTTTTGAGACCGTCATCTCCACTATCGAGCATTTCTCCAAAGATATCGATGACTTTACCACAGCGAAGATGGCCTTCTCTGTTCTCTCGAAGATGAGCAGCTCATGGGGCGGTCCGGATGTGATCGCGGAAGCTTCCAACGGGGTCCCTCCAGCGCAGGCTCCGCTGCCCGGTTTTGGCCAGTTCATGATCACAAGATTCTCCCCATTATGCTGGGCGCTGCCGTCCACACCTTCTTTCAACTCCAAGGATGCGCAGGCCAAGCAGGTTCTTGCTGAAGCGGGCGGGTTACAGCGTACGATATATGCCAAAACAGGCATGGAGTACCTTACGTATCTCCGCGACCGTGAACTGCCTGGCATGGGTATGGGTACAGAATTGATTGATGAGTTTGTGGGTGCTTTGAGCCGGCTGGACTTGAAGGGGTTCCGGCAATTCTTTCCGGTATGTCTATCGAACTTTCATATTCTCTTGATCTGAATTTGATTAACTGATATTGGATTGGTACAGACTTTCATCCAGCGATTGAGCGCATGATATGGTTATGATTTTTACCTCGAACGTGGTCATCTCTATTTCTTCCTTTTCATCTTTCTATTCACCCATACTCTTCAGCATTCCTCAGAGTCATTTCACTTCCTTTTAGATTCCCCCACAGTTTGGTTTGATGACGGATGTTCTCGTGTGGTCCTTTAAAAAACACTGATTGGTCTGTCCCCGGCACGCGCTTCCTTCCCACTGTCATGACTTCACTACACCCCCGGTACAGAAAAGTATATAGTTGGTGAGGCATTCATTTGCATGATCAGGCGTTGATATACAGCGTTCTTTGTCATCTCGATTTATTCGGAAGCGACGAGTTGGACAAAAAGGAGACAACCTTGCTACTGAGGCAGAGGCAATGCAGGAAACGGAGAGAGCCGCATGGTCAGGGTGACCGCTGCTGGTACGAGGTGAGGACCTGGGTTTTGGCTGGGTTTTGGTTACGTGGGATGGCGGTCTCGGATGAGTTCTATGACTGGGGCATACTTGCCACGTGGAGTTGTCGGTATCTTGCGAGCAGTCGACTCGTTTATAAGTCTCATGGCCGATCTCCGATGGTCAGTGGACGATGGATACCCAGCAACGAGGGTTTACGTTTGTACGGTCTTGAGAACTTAATGATAAATCATGAAAAATATGAGATACAATATCAAGAATATGATTTGGATTACCCATTCTCTCTGTGCACAGATAATAGTAGATACTGAGTATTGGATAAGATAGTTGCTCTTTGCAAGTTGATCGTACCGGCCAGCCTGCTAACCTTTCTATATATGTGACTTCGGCGCCCGACGCTCACTTTTATCACTCATCATCATCAGAAGACGCCATACAAGTACAATTAGGCAGACAGCGACAGCGGGCTTCAAACGAGTACTCTCAGATAGCTTTGCATGCTTCATTGAACAGACAATCACAAATTATCAAGGGGAAACCCACTAAGCAAAGAGATACTTGGCCGCATGCTCGACATGGTCATCCGAGAACGTCGCCATGGTGTAGTAACTATGATCGTAATCAGGCTGATAGCGGATATTGACGCCCTCGACGCCAGCCTCCTTGGCGGCCTTCTCAAAGTTCTCCGGGAGAAGCTGGCCCTGCTTGTAGAAGTTGTCGCCGGTACCCTGCGCCAATCGGTCAGTCTCACTCGAAAGCCAAATAAGAAGGCAAATTGGTAATAAGACGGACCACGTCAATAAGGACATCCAAACGCCCCTTCCACTTCTTCACCAGCTCGGTGGCGTCGTGCTCCGCCCATTTCGCTTTCTGGTCTTCGCCGAAGTAGCCCGCGAACGCCTTCTGGCCCCAGGGGCAGTTGATGGGGTTCGCGATGGGCGCAAAGGCAGAGACGGATTTGTATTTGCCGGGGTTACGGAGGAACTGCCAGTGCGGCACTTGTCAGCTCTCCTACTCTTGAATTCCGAGCCAGTGGTGGCCCTGAACAGGTCACGTACCAGCGTCAGCGCACCGTGGCCGCCCATACTATGTCCCGTAATGCTGACCCTGCTCGAATCCAGCTGCGGGAACGCCGCAAAGACCGTCTTGGGGAGTTCCTCGGTGACATAGGTGTACATGTTGTACCCATTGTTGTAGGGGGCCTTTGTCGCATCGACGTAGAAGCCGGCGCCCGTGCCGAAATCCCATGAGTCGTTTTCGCCTTCGATGTTCAGACCGCCTGTTCTCGATGCTTTGCATCAATATGTGTTATTATTGATTGGGGTGTTTGCTGTAACGTACGAGGGCTGGTATCTGGGTAGAGCACCGCAATGCCTTTCTTGCTTGCGGCGTGCTGGAAGAAGCCCTTCTCGGAGCAATTGTCGGCTGTGCAGGTGAGGCCGGACAGGTAGATGAGGACGGGGATCTTCTGGGATGAGTTCTGGAAGGCCTGTGGGGAAGGTAGAGGTTGAAGTTCATCTCGCATTTTGTTGAGGAGGCGGCATGGCTCAGCTTTAGCAGCTTGCCGCCAAAGGAGGCGATTGTGGCTTTTGTGGTGACGGACATTGGCGCTGTGTGATCTTGTTCTCAAACAGAGTGTCAGGCTGCAAGATCGTGGTGGAATGACGAGAATGGAGCGGATGGTTTTTGTGACGGAGGGTGGGGGAGGGAATGAGGGGAACCGTGAGGGGCAGCGACTTCATCATCATTTTTCTCCTGTCTTCTCCCCACGACCGTTTCAACGTCAAATGGAGATACTCTGTCCAGACAGATACTAAGCTACTAGAATAGCTTCCTCCAATCAATGGTCTGTCTGATATCCTATTAGCAGAAATATATACCTAGTCCACTGTGGATCCTGCATTCCGGAAAACATTGCCCTTTATGGACATGAAACTTTACATACAGGATAGGATGTGAGGACTGTTTCACTGTATAGAGACTACTGGGGTTCACTCCACATACTAATCGGCATACTAATCCCCTAGATGAATGGTAAGTAATTTACTAAATGTAATCAAGGTTCAAGGTGACGACCAACCTCAGCCCATACAACAGAGCCATGAGGAATTTTAGGAATACGGCTCTCACTGCTGAGCGTTTCATCCATGATCTTCCTATCACAGAGCCAGGTTGTATAACCGGTTGTAAGGGGCTCAAGCTCCCCACTTTCATACATCCGTATGAGTGCCATAATGTTGACATTTGGCGTTGCTGTTCAGGGTCCTTTAGAACTTCTTTAAGCTGTCCAACACATTCGTGAGGCTGGATAATAAGGGGAATTGGACACGCAGGGCCGAACTCGTCTTCTTCCTCTTTGGCCTTTTTGAGTGTGATCCGGGGTCGACGGCTGCCGTATTGCGAATGAACGAAAGTTCTGGAGACAATTGTTCGTCTTTGCCCAAGGACGTACTGGCCGAACGTAGTCTCTTTGCGCGCCGACGTCCTTCCACGCGAAGCTGAGAGCTCTTCTTCGCTTCCTTATACGTCTTCTGATTCATCGAAGATATTCAACTATTATAAAGTTCTCCTAGTCTAGGGAATGGTGGATTAGTCTTAGTTGCTAGGTAGTTGGGGAATTAGGGTGACCAAGGCAGAGGTTACGTATTACTGGGGCACTAACCATTGGAAAGGATAGATAGACCTCCGTCACCTTCGATCTCATAGATATACACAGGATGGAAATACACAACGCCAATAATAAATGCACTAACTGGGACATCCACCATCTATCTAGTTCCAAAACTCCAACAGTGCACAAAACAGGTCATCGTCCTAGCAAACGCCAACACCAAAACACATTATGTACAGGTCTATTCCAGAAACACCGAAGGAATGCCGTAGATGACGGGTGCCGCGCCATTCAGGTACTTCAACACACAGGCACTTCGTGACTTGGATACTGCTTCATCCAGCATCACTGCATCAGAAGACTCAGTGCTGAACGTTTTTGCAGATCGTGACCTTCCCTTACTCGGAAGCGTCGTTCTTTGGTCATTGGTAACCCGGTCTCCGATAAGTCCCCATTTCTCGAACGTAGACTTGGCGAAGCGATCAATATCTTTGTCGGTCACATCCCACAGGGTCGCAACGAGAGCAGGACAGCCTGCATGCAAGTAATTCATTGGGGTCCCATATGGCTCGTATTCGCCCGCTTCGGTCAGTGTGCCACTGCTACACCCCATGAGGAATGTAACTGCACATCGGTCAAGACGTTTGATAGTCCTTCCACGGATATACTGTGCGCCGCTCCCATGGCCAAAATACAAAAACAGGCTCTTGGATTCCAAGCCATCTTTGAACTCCTCTTCTGTCGGCTCTCGCTTGGCGATCCCCGTCCAAGTAGTCAAGCGGCCAAGGTCGGCCTCGAAAGTGGCTTGCGTTGTTTGAAGATCTCCTGTAGGGTTGAGAATATATGTGCCATTTCCACGGTCAATGGCAAATCCGGTATCGTTGCCCTTTACTTTGAGGATGCTCTCACACTGGAGAATCCGCTCGCGCAGACATTCCAAGGACGGCACACGACATACCGGCAATCCTTCCAGACATGGAAGTGATTCCCACGGGAACAAGTGTAGTGCCTTATCTAGGACCAAGATGGTATGCTGCGGTTGCTGTCCTTCTCGTAAGCGGCGCGCCGCTTCATGGTAGCCTCGCACAGCATCAAGGGTCTCGACCACCATCATATCGAAGTCGATTTCGTCATAGGCATTTCGTTCCCCCTGGAATTGCAAGATGTCGACCACAAAGTACAAAAGATCCATCAATGTCTCCTCAGGGTCTTCCTGGCCTTCTAGGTCGTTCACGCCAACGAACAACTCCAAGACATTGCGATGTAGTGATAGCCTCGGAGCTGCTGAACGGCCGCCCTTTTGTCTGGAAGGGAGGTGCTTGTCTAGGATGTTCTGAAACGACGTTGCGAACCGCGAGAGGGCAGCCTCTTCGTGAGCCATCGGTGAAAAGATCCCCCGGAATCCACCGAACCAGACGTTCTCAATGTTCTGCAGCAAGTTCTGTAGGCGCTGGTCGAGGGCTTCGCGGTTTCTCCACCACTCCTTCTTGGAGTGCCTATCCTTCTGTAACTTCGCGGCATGTGCACTTTCGTTCGCCAGCTTGATAATTTCCTGCATCTCTCCTCTTCCGTCCTCGAATGTGAACTGATCCTCGTCGTCCTCGGCGTTCCCTCTCTTTAATGGAAGTCGAAGGAGGAAGGGCGAGTGATCCTTGCGTAGCCGAGAGATAATGAATTCCGTGCAGTCCGCGCTGAGGGACAAGGAAAGTACGTTCCAGTTAGACGGTAGAATATCGATATATTCTTCAGTAAAGGTGCTGCATAGGTCTGCCTCTGGTTCTGCTGTAGACACCTGAGCTGGCCAAAGCAGCGGATCATTGAAGTCAGAAAGTTGCCTGTCAATACCGATAGCGATTCGCTCGCGCGTAAAGGCGCCGATGCGGCCAATTTCTGACAGCTCAGTCAGTGATCTATCCAGTACTGACAATTTGGGCAACACCTACCATTCACATTCGCTGGCGGTTGAGACCAAGGCATTGGACTCCCAGGCGCAGTCGTATGCGACAACATTGAAATGCGACTCATCAGCCGGGACGCCATATGGTTGTCCAAGGTTGATCCCAGAGCCGTTGCAACCGAAAATACGTTGTTCAGACAATCACCAGCCTTGGACAACATATCGATGAAATCCTCGCTTGCTTTCGCAGTTTTTGACCGCGTTCCTCTGGCGTGTGCTCGTGACTTACGTGTAGTGGACTGTTTAGTGGAAGGGGTCGTCTCATTCGTAACCTTCCTCGGCGATTGTAAGGCAGGGAGGGATATTGTCGATTCTGGCAGAACACAGTAGACCGCATGCGACGCGAATTGCCGTATGGCCTCAGCAAGGTGATGTTCACTTTCTTTCAGATGCAACGATATTTGGCTGTTCCGTGACGTAGCAAACTTCCGTGCGTCAGTCAACAGACGTGAGGCTTTCTCAAACTCTCTTAGGGAAAGCGAACATGCTGCCTGTTGTTGGAGGATGCCGCTTCTGAGGTGCGAGACAGACTGCGACATTGTTCCATTTGTGTCCGGTTTGCCAGTTAAGGGCTTCGGTGCCGTCCTTGAGGATACAGTAGTCGCACGAGTTCTCCGAGCTGTTGTTGTACTTGGTTGTGCTCTCCTGCTACTTCCTCGAATTCTTAGCTTGTCCATTCCATCTTCCAGCTCAGAAATGGCCGACTGTAGAGAAAGCGGTTCTGCTGTCTCCAAGGCTGTCACGTCGGCCATTATCCGGTCCGCCCTCAGGAGAGCTTGCCACTCGTCGTGGTAGTTGCCCTGCAGCCTGTGAAGGGAGGCAATGCTCATCTGCAGCGAAGCGAGCTCAACACTGCTTTCCAATTGCTTAGACAGTTGTTCTGCAGCTGTTAGTAGCTCTTGACCTTCAGAGAGACGCCCGCCAAATATCCAATAAGAGCCCAGCTGGGCTTGAGAAGCGATCAAGCGGACATTCGCATTAAGCGTCCTGTTGATCTTCAGGGCTTGCTCACCGTAGTAGACAGCGTCCTGAAATAGACCATAATGGGCAGAGAAATATGCAAGATTCAAGAGAGCAGTATGGTGCGAGCCCACATGAGGCCAGAACGGAGCTCCCTGAGAATAAGTGACGGTGTGATTTGTCGTCGAGACTGATTGGGACACATCAAGCCTTGCCACTCCATCAACAACACTCTCGAGATCGGAGCTGCGGCTTGCAGACAGCGATTTCTCCTGCTTCCTTTGGGATATCCTTTCGACCTTCGCCCAGATTCGGCAGTTCATTTTGACGCATAATTTGGCAAAGAAAAGAGCCTTCGTCACAGAGCCTTGGGCGAACGAAAGCCGCGAACTCATGAGGACCGCATCCGCCACCAATCTTTCCCATCCTATCTTGGATAAGATAGAGCCGTTACTCAGGTCCTCCTTCTTCTGATTTTTCTCGTACAGAAGCCTTGAGGTCGAAAGAATGCCTGTTGCCTTCTCCAGTTCTCCCCTCTCGAGAAGGTATTCCACTCGGGCGAGTCGGTATGATAGATTTGCCAGGCAAGAGACTTCATTCTCGTTCAGATATCGATCCGCGCGCGTAAGAAGAACTTCAGCCTTCTTGCAATGCCCTAAGCGACAGTACTGTGAAACCAAGCGTGACAATATGATGATTGCTTCAGAAAAATCCCGAGTTGCTTGGACCTCCGTGATGCGTAGGACAAGTTCGAGAGCGACGAGCTGGAGTTTCCACAGTCCGTAAATCTCCGTGTAATCAACAATGGCTTTGAGCTGAAGAAAGTAATAGTCCACATCGTCAACGCACGAAGAGAGCGTGCCTTTGTCTGGACAGTTGCGCATCATTGAATTCCACGAGCATAGTATCCGATCCAATTCATCTGAGCGTAGGTCCCCCTCATGAAGACCTAGGGTGAGACAAACTGAATTCTTCAAGTGTGTCGCGTAGAGTTCCATGTCAGTATCACTACCAACTTCTTGAGCGTTGTCGAGGCTTTTGACGCTTTCCTCGACAAGTCGACGGACAGTTGGCAGTTCTAGTGAACCTGAGTGCTCCAAAGAGAAGCGCAAACCCATCAAGATGACCCGTAGACGACGGATGGGCCGCGACTCAGAAGAGTATACTTCCAAAGCTGTACTGAGGAGCGTATCAAATGCCGAACGGAAGCCCTCGTCATTATGGGCCTGAGGCGGTAATTCGCTCAAAATACCGAGCTGCCATTCCAGAAGGAGGCCCCTCTGTAAGGACTCAAGGGTAGGGCAATCGAAGAACTTGGCATGGTTTAAATCCCGGAGACGCAAATTCGTCCTAAGAAACGCAGAAAGTATGCGGTTGAAAGTAAAGCTGCTGCTCTTCGGGTCTTGACAGGCCCGGTGCGGAGAGACACCGACGGCATCGGATACGAGTTGCTTCAAGACCCCTGCACTAATATGCTCGTTGAGGGAAGCTTTGAATGCCTCTGCACATTCAACGCCCATGTTCGCTTCGAGGTATAAATGAGCGAGTCTTTCGTACTTTAGTGCTGCGAATCCTGTTCTTCGTTGAGCCGGCGAGCAATTCTCGAGAAAGTGGATTGATTGTCTCAAAGCATGCATGAGTTCGCGATAGCCTTTCCCGGACTCCTTGTCTTTGATATACCGAGACCAGAACAGATTGGACAGTTTCACAAATCCCATGCCACTCTCGTTCTCGTCCGATCGCTCGTGCTTCCCTTCTGCTGTGCATTCGATCGCCACCAGGAGGCGTTGGCAGTCGGAGAATGTCGAAAGCAGTGACTCCCATGAAGGACTCTGTGACATGACGGACAATTTACCAACTGCGAGAGCTGAATCTACCGCGGCCAACACGATGCTCCTACAAGTTTCGAGCCGCTTGTAGAATATCTCGAGGTCCCTTTGGTCCTCATCTGCAGAAGGTTTCTTCCCAAGATATCGTCGCAGGAATTTCACGAATCCGTTCAAATATGCATAAATATTCGGCAAAATCTCCCTTTCCTCGTCAGTAGCATCATGTTCCTTGGCCACCTTCTCTCCTAACCAGCTCATTGCAATCTTCTTCAACTTCGCTGCTTCGACTAGCAGCTCATCCAAGTCATTCTCATTTCCCCTAAGAGGTGTACCAAGGGCTGCAGTAACTTCAGAGAGAGACTTGGACACGCTCGGTTGGCGCATTTTGGTCGAGTCTTTCAAAGCCTGCAAATGAAGTGCCGCGAGTTTGCATCGTACAGTGGCTGATGAAAGCAAATTTTCGTCCACCAGAGGATTGAGAGCCTCGGCGAAAAGGGTTGACGCCTCCTTGAAACATCCTGCTTCTTGAGCAAGTTGTCCGAGGATGGTTGCTATCCGGGCTACCGAAAGATTGTTTCTCAACTTCGATGAAGGTCGTTTTTGTGAGTTAGCGACAGCTGCCTGCAGTCGGACGATTGTTTTGTATGTTGCAGCGAACTCAGCCTTCTCGATACCTCTGAAATGGTTGACGAAAACCGCTAAATAACGCGCCAGCGGTTCCCACATCTCTTTCACATCGTCACAGATATGACCAGACAATTTCCAGCTCCTGCACCGAATCTCAAGTGCTAATAGTTGAAGGGTCAATGATGTTATCGGTTTCAGTGATTCTTTGGAGGCGTTGCTATCATTTGGCTTCTGTGTTGCGGAGCACATAGACATTATCGTGTTAGATAGCAATTGAAGCTGCATAGCCGCCTTGTCCCGTGTCATCGTCTGGGAATCAACCGCTGCAGTGATCAGATTCGCTGGGCTGCTTGGATTCGTCAATTGCAAGGAAGTCAAGACTTTATGCACTGTCGCGGCCCGTTTCTCCGCTGCTATGAGCCGAAGGGCGTTGGACTGGAAGGAAATAATCAAACTGTGCAATGGTCGAGCGTGAGATAGGTTCTTAAAGGATATGAGATCGGACATTCGTTCCTTGGCAGCAGCTTCCTCCGTGCTTCGCTGGTCCTTCCACCCGATAGTGGCGTCTTTGCCAGTGTCCTGGCTATCCAAGTATTGTTGGACCCTCCTCTTAAGACCCCGTAGTTCTTTGTAGGCCAAGTCATTCAGTCCCAGAGATAAATATCTTCCTGCTAAGACACATGCGCCTTGTTCGAGTTGGATATTAAGCGGACCATTTCCCTGGCTGCTCTGTTCGGCTTTCATATTCCTCAAGCAGACAAGTGCCAGACTAGCACACTCAGCGACTGCGAGTAGGCCGCCGTCGATTTTGGCTGCATCCGGTTTTGCACATTGTGGTGTCTTCGATCTCCTCGCCGGTTTTGTGACGCGATTCGGTGAAGCTGGGTGAAGAGGCGTAGTCGGTACACGAAGTTCTGATGACTTTGATGCATCTGCAAGTGTCTTCAATGTTGTATTGAAGATCTCTGTCGCCAGTGAAACCTTTTCCTGACATGACAAACGCGCTGCATCATGTTCGACCGCAGCAATTGTTGTCGCACCTTTGGCCGAGACGCTTGTTTTGATTATCGCTCTATTCCGTCTCGAGGATACAGACACGGCCTTCTTCGTCCGACTCGTCTTCTTCATAGATTCGCTCTCGACGTCGGGGACCGGTTTCATTGAACTGCGAAAAAGAGACTGGAGGGACAACACTGTGGCATTGCAGCATGTTGAGGTTGAGCGCACGGCTTGCTTCACCGAATCCAGTGAGGATTCAGGAAGTAGTGTTGCAACTGCCATATCGATCTGTAGTCAGTTGAAGTCCTGCAATGTTAGATGTGACTATGAGTTACGGCCATAGACGCATTGAGGCTACACATCTCATGTCAACTCCGTCAGTGTCTCTCAGCGTCGGGCCAAGCCTCAAGCGGTGGTTGTCGCAGCAACAGAAATGCACTACTCCCGCAGAGGCATAGCGCTGTCGGTTCCCCGACTCTCCGATCCAAAGGTCTTTTTGGCCGATCTTAACGTCGTAGTTCAAGTGTCGGAAATAATACGTTCTACATCATTATCACCATGTCTACAACTCGTCTATACCACATGGCCCGCGGTCTACCGGGCCCCCGGCTGCTCGGAAGTCTTCGCCTCCAAGTCCCACCGCGATACTGCCAGTATTCCACTTCGGGGCATATGCCGAAGATCGCTCAACCATCGTTATGGCACTCCATGATCCCCAAGTTCATTCGAAATCGGCGCGTCAAAGCGGAAACTTCCCCCACTAAACGGAAAGAATGGAATCCGGCTAGTTTCTACATCGTCATATTCATCTTGATCGGGTCGCAAGCCATTCGAATGATTGCTTTGAAGAACGAATATAATGCATATACTCGATCGACCGATGCAAAGATTCGACTTCTACGGGAGGTGATTGAGAAAGTACAACGAGGGGAGAAGGTGGATGTAGAGAAACTGCTCGGCACCGGAGATGAGGCAAAGGAGAGAGAATGGGAAGAAGGTGCGGATTTCTGGCCGCTTCATACATGGCTTTTATGAGGACTAACAACTCTGTCGTCCCACAGTTCTTCGCGAGATCGAGGAGGAAGATTCTCTCTGGCATCGGAAGAACTCAGGCTCGGAATCCAATCGTCCAGTGACGCCTGAGCAAGAGCAGAAACAGCAGGTGGAGAAGTCTCGATCTAAGGATCCCGTTGTTCCTGCTGAAGGGGTGTCAACCCAGGAGCCACCAAAGGATGGAGCCGCAAGACGCAAATTGAACTTCTTCTAGCCAAGTTGAGTGTGCGGACCTTCCACACCGACCCAATAACTCATTCCCTCCCATTATGAGTTCCGGTCCTTCAATGAGTCGAGTCCGTTTCCATGAAGCTTCGCGGCGACGCTCATGAGACGACACGGAGCTTTGCTGAGTCTTTTCAACCTAAAACTTTCGGGTTCGTGCCATCTCCTTTGTTCTTACATCTTTGTCTGACCGGGACTTAGAATTTGGAACTCGGCCGATCCGACTTACGGATCCCATTTTTTTGTTGATCCCAGTCGGAGTTACTCCTCCACTTATCTTCTTCCTTGATACCCAGATATTTTCAAGGCCACAGCGGCTTGCATAGACTTGTATATCATTGATTTGTCCTGTACATACGTTGTCTTATGTGTATGAATGTATGTTTGCCATCTTTCTTATACTCCGCCTCCTAGCCGACGTCTGGTTCGTGCGCAGCTTAAATTTACTTTCCTATTTAATCCAAGTTTGATCTCATGAGCTGCACAAGTTTGTCTTGCATGTCGCAGAAAATATTGATTGCCTGCAGTGGTGTCAGTCATCCAGTCTTCCCCATGTTGTGTCATACTTCAGCCAAACTTGCCTGTGTAAGTTTCTCTTCACTTGCTCCATGCAAGTCCCGGGTGAAGGCAATCCTGTAAGCGGATTCGTCGTTAACAAATGACTGTTGTGCCACAGAGATTGCTGGTGGAACATCAGAGTCAAAGAGAGACTCCATTTGAGGTGCAGAGCTGGGTTGCGAAAGCTGTTTCAGGAGGTCTGGCGCGATTGTGATATGATCAACTCCTGCCAGGGCATATATCTCGTTTGTGGATGTCAAGCTGGCTGGCAAGACCTTTGTTTTTGCATTGATGGATTTATAATGCTTCTGGATTGCAACACAGAGAGGCAAGAGCTTGTTTGGGTCCGTGAATCTGGCGACCTGTCAGTGCAACCTTGCTCGGAACAAGTCAAGCAATTCGCTAAAGATGTCGTGCTCACCCTGGTTCGAAGTGGACTTTCAATTGATTGACATAAGGGGCTATATACGTGCACCCAACCTCCGCCGCTAAGATGGCCTGGGACATTGTGAAGAGCGTCGTGGCTAGCGTTCGCACACCGGCCATCTCAAGAGCTCGGCAAGCCATCATGCCCTCCCACGTACTCGGAATTTTGATGCAGACACGAGATTGCTCAAAACCTGGTTGCAGGTGTTGGAAGAGCTGGATAATTCCTGTGGCAGAAATGCTTCGTTAGCGGAATTCCGGCAGAGGAACTGTTGACATACTCAAAGCGTTCACAATTGTGCTTTCAGTGGAGTAAGAGTAGTAAGGGTTCGTCTGGACATGAACGTGTCCACGAATATGAGGAGCTATTTTCAAGGCTAATCTAACCATCTATGCAATCATTTGTCAGCTACTTAGCACTTCAGTACTATAGTAAAGCTGTGCCTACCGCAATCTCAACTGCCAGCTCCTCCAGCGTGAGGCCAGTGAATCTGGGCAAAAGATCATTGGCGTCTGAGATGGAATTGCGGATCAATCCGATGTGTTCTGGCTTCGACAGTTCGCCGTACGCAATAGCCTTCATTGCAGATTTTCCAAATCAGCTCATAGTCCTGATACTTTGTGAGACTGGACCACGACAAGTGCAACCCACCTGGTTCGAAGTACAGTCTTGGAACGGACCCAAGTCTCTGGCAACTGGTTATTTGTTAATAGACACTGAGTTAAGCATCTCACTGCAGTCTGATATATGTACCTTGTTCATCCATAGTGTCGCAGTCGACGATAGTTCTCCTGCGGAGAATGTCTAAGCCTGTTTGCATCGTAGCCATCTTGTTGATGTTCAATGGAAATAGAGAAGGATGCTAGGCTAGAGTAGGACGTTGAGAGTTTACGATGCCTTCAGGTCTGGGGAACCGAAATGGGGAGAAAGTCTGTTGAATATATATAGAAATAAGCTTCCCCTCATGGCAAACAACTCTCAACAACTAAGAACAAAGGAAACTTATCCGATCAACTCAGCTATCTTCCAAGTTTGCGCATGACTTCTGACCGAAGAACATCGCCTCAATAATGTCCGAACCTGTATCTATCGAGGGGGTTCGTCGCGCAAGCTTTAAACCGACTGGCCTACGAACATCGGTTGCTCCACAGAAAAAGTCGCGCAGCTTGCTGAAGAACCCCCAGCCAACTTGAGTAACCGGCGTAATGACATAATGTTGGACTGTTAGTTAAGTGAGTCTAGCCTCTAGACTATCTACCCGCGGGGTATCTTTTTACGGTTGAATGACTTAAGCCAAATAGTCTCCCTTTTCGGATATACATAAACCTTACTCAGTCCATCAATCCTCAGCACTGCAGCAGCTACAGACCCCAGAGATCCTTTCTTCGATGACAACAACTCATGAGAGTACCAGCGAAGCACTAGATAAACCATCCCGGTTGAGCAACTTTCTGTTCCCGTTGTGATCCCCTCCACAACGGTGGAGGCGTGACGAGGGCCCCGCATAGGATTTGTGCAGACAACCCAGGAAGAGACGGTGTCTACAGGCAGACAGTATCAGATACTTCATCACTAGGCCCATGACTGTACATAGAAAGTCGTGTACTCGTCCACGTCATATTGTAGATGAGAGTAAGCTCTGAGGGCTAACCACCGTTTCAGGATTTGCGTAGAAAGCGCAGGACAAAAGTAACAACCACGGATGACAAGAAAATCGCTCAACCACCAAGTAGCATCATTCGCGACGTTTGCTGGAACCCAACATGGAAGACGCTCAAGACCACGACTTTCTTTAGCCTTATCCGTCGGATAGCGGCCTGTCATCTCATCTACCTCATAGAACGGAGGAATATAAGCACCTAAAGATTGAAGGTCAGATGAACCAATCATGCTATGGAAATTTCCCAATTGGCGTTGAATAGGCACAATGACATGGAACAAATCCTGCGCTTGACTCGCGATGAGTCTGCAACTAGCACCTTGTCGACTTGAATCTGGTGTTTCTGCTAAGAGAGCCAACTAGATTGATCCCCGGCCAGAAGCTTTGTAAGTTGTGCCCAAGCCAGTACATATCCTGTAAATGATGTGCTGTTATAAACGCACGGCGGTTGATCTTCCCTAGTTTGGGCTTGATAATAGTGAGCAGAATCTAGAAGCCAGTTGGCTGATCTTTTGCTTAACGATCTTCATCTCGATATTTGGAAGCGTCCAAACGACCTTAGAGACAGGCATTCTGACGAAGGGAGCATGGGGCTCTAATGCCTTGGGGAGTTCATCATGCAACATCGGATCAGGTCATGACTGTATTTCAGCCAGATGCTTGCTCTGATCATCGGTTCTGAGAGCTGAGGGATACAGCGGCTAAAATACCTTAGACATATATGCTGAATTGACTTGGGAAGGTCTGCCAGTATCACTGCACGCTTACTGAGAATTGGCTTAAACTTTACAACTACGCGACAGTATTATGTAACCCTGATATGAAACCCGTTCGTCTCATGGGCAGAGAAGAATGGGCGATTAACGACGGGACGAACATCTCCTTCTCAGGTATCTCGTAAATAACCTCTGCGGTCGCGACAGAATGCCGAAACCTGTGAGATTTAGCCTGGCACGTCAACATCATTCCAGACGGTAGACGACGTGGGCTGAGACCCTTAAGAAGAAGAAGAAAAGGAAGAGAAGAGGATGAGAACATCGCACACAAAAGGGAAGCACGGAAACTACGAGCGGTGGTGGAATGGAAGAAGAATCTTCCGTGTGGTAATACGGTCGGAATGATTGGCTGGAATGGACGCAGTATGGCCGAATCCCGTGACTTGACGCTTGCCCGAGGTTGACTATCCCGTGATTCCGAACCGCTACGAGAAGGTCCGACCCTCAAGATCGAGAGGTTCTTCTAGACGACGACGACGACGACGGCCAGCGTCTTGCCTGGGTTAGATCATTTGCATTCTTGAATTGAGACCTTTGCTTCACTATGATCTCTCAGAAGGTTGCTCAGCAATCGCTGCGGCGGCGTATGTTCAGCCCATTATTTGGCTCGGTAGTCGAGGCTCACTAACCATCCCTGCAGTTGCCGTCCAGCAGCCCTATGCCATGCGGTGGTCTTTGATGAACTCTGCCTCTCCTGCCGCTGTTGCTATGGGAAGGAATGTACAGAAGAGGTGAGCCAGCCCACGCCGTCGCTGTTCATCTTGTGCTTTTCGGGTTGTTCCGCACCAATACCTCCGTCGGTTCATATTGGCGACATTGGCCGCTACGTCATGCGACACTCTGGTATACAGTTTCGAGGCATCAACGCGTTACAACAGAAGGAACATCATGGGAGTGGAATGGACGAATGCTGATGCGTATGACCAGACACGCTGCTTCCACCACATCCCAAGCCGACGCCTCCAAGATCCTCGCCCAACAGCGCTTGAACCGCCCCGTTTCCCCTCACCTCTCCATCTACCGTCCCCAGATCACCTGGATTGGCTCTAGCGCTCACCGTATCACCGGCGTTGCTCTTTCTGGCTCCTTGTACCTTTTCGCAACCGCATACCTCGCCGCGCCTCTGTTCGGTTGGCACCTCGAATCGGCGTCTATCGCTGCCGCTTTTGGCGCTCTACCCATTGCTGCCAAGGTTTTCATCAAGGGTACCGCAGCCTTCCCTTTCGTCTACCACTGCTTGAACGGCGTGCGTCACTTGGTCTGGGATCTTGGCCGTGGAATTTCCAACCAGCAGGTTATCAAGTCTGGCTGGACCGTGGTGGGCCTGACTGTGGTTAGCGCGCTCACTCTTGCTTTGCTGTGATTTTTGTTGTATTACATACCTTTGAGTTGTTGTTTTCTGAAAAATTGTTTTCCCATACAATATACTTTATACTGTTCAAATGACTACTGATATCTGAGACATTCTTTTGGTCTACTATCCCCTACATGCCTGCTACACCACTTGGGGGAACTTGAGGAAAATACCGATGTAGGATCTTTCAGAGATAAGCGATTCTGCTATGTGATGCCCGGACTGTGCTACCGTCAATGGGATCAACAGGCTCTGATCATTAGAAACTTGGTGATGTACTCGACGGCCGACTAATTTGAATACAGGTCATGGCGTCCATGGTGCTCAGAACGGTATGGAATTATAACCTGCAGTGTCTATTTTCCTCTCTGATCAACGCTCCTCAAGAAACAATCTATGGAAAGCGCACATCATCGTGCAAGTCTAAGTTAAAATAGGGATCCTTCCAAATGCATTCTCGCACAACCTTCTTCGTTTCCGCTCATGGGATCATGATGAATTGCTTCGGAAATTCTTGAGATCATGTCAGCCTTTGCCGTTCGAGCTAATACTTATCTCCTTTGCATGGAAAGCTACGAAAGGAATTTCGAGGCCTGGTTGGCTTACCTATTGTTGTATATCATCTCAGACTAAGGTCGACAGCCAAGCCAACTCACGAACTCACGCAGGGCTTGGAGGAGGATTGGGCGGAAATGGTCTCGGTGATGGTGGATCTTGGACAGAAAAGCTGCCTATCGAGTACTTCGCAGCGCTCTCATGATTATTCTGGAAGCCCCATTTCGCGAAAGGGTCGGAATTCGCAAGGAGGGTGTTACCGGGGTTCTGCTGAACCGCCATCTTTGAGGACGATTAGGGATCTCCGCTTGGCTGTGTGAAGCTTGGAGTAGGCAACAGGAAGCTATTGGCGGGACGCGACTGAGGAGGAAGGTCTTTCTCACGGCTTATGTTCTGTGAAGACTTCCTGCTACTGGACTTGGGCCCAGTAGAGAATTGCTGAAGCTCATCATCGGTAACCAGGCCAGTCTCGCTTTTTAATACTTCATACTGCTGCGGCCATTGACGGCTACGAATGTGTTCTCCTTACCAGGTTAGGTCGTACACCGCCATCTCGCTGGTTATCCGACTTACGGGAAGAGGCCGCTTGGATCTGACACTTCGGAAGTTCTACTGAATATGTACGTGCTTCCTTCATCTGAGCTTGGGACCTAGAAGTTTCCTCATTCATCTCTGCAAGGGCCCGAGGGAGACCAATTTGCTAGGCAGCTTGTCCACATTCCATCTTCTTCGTGCCTCATAACTTCCGCTGGCGAGCAACTGCAGAGCTTGGGCACTACCCGAAGATGCTCAACGACATTACATATGTCAAAGCGCACCCTTGCTGCCCCGGACCATGGCAACCCCAGGGTGCAGATCCCGACTTGGTAGTGACACCGGCGGATTTGGGGATATTGATCGTCGCGGCTTGTTGCAGTAACGCATTTTGAGCTGAACGTTATCAATCAGATCAACACCGATACTCTAATTGAACAAGCTGGGGTGATGGAATTGCTTCTGGAAGCACCATACCCCGATGAAGAGGTCTCCCTATCCAGATGTCTGAGCAGGTCCGAGATCGGTCACTCTGCTTGGCTGAAGAATACTAGGATCTACTTTACTCCGCAAGAGAACGTAGAGTCAGTGCACCCCTGCCAGTATCAATCATTAGGGATTTAGCGTCTGAGGCAGAAAATCCACTTGCGGGGCCTTCCTTTTCGACAAGAACCGGTCATTAGCATCAAGACCTTGACGATCGCGATATCTCGCTGTCTTGCTCTGGAGCAAGCTAAGAATGACAACTTCCCCAGTGGATTGCCTGGAAAAATGGCGGTGTTTTCGGGGGTACGAATGACTCATCTGCGCGACTCAAAACACATGAATCAAAGCATGATCACTCCATTTAAGCACGTGGACAGTCTCCATTCTCCCTGGGGTCACACCCGTCAGAAACAAATATCAGCAAAAGCCGGCGAGGAAATGGGCTCACGATCAAGCAGTCTGTGTTTAATAACAAGCGACGAGTAGTATCATCGCCTTCACTGAAGCCATTTTACAATTATAGCTCGCGCATCGGTCTGGTAGCAATATAGCTGGCTGAATGATGGCTGGAGGAACTGCCCTCAAGGTGAGGCTTCGTCGCACAGCGTTGGTATGGGAAGACTGGGTGCCGGGTTCTCTACTCTTCAGCAACCCGCTGGGAGGAGGACCACCTACAGGAGGATATCTCCTAGCCCGGTCGATGGGTGCCGCGGATTACCTTACCTTCTGCAAGCTAACCCACCAGAAACCACGACATGCTCTAGCTCATTTATCAAGCTGAATGGTTTTAAGCTTATTCTGGCTTTGCAGTGTGACCAAGCAAATGTTGTTCTATTAAAGCGTTTAATTCCCGGGTGGCTGCGAGTCAGCTTCCGAAGGTCCTGCTTGACTTCTGAGTGCAGTGTGACCTGGATCAGACGCGCCGGGTAATTTGGAGTGCTTACCTGGGTACTCCTTGTCCGTTGAGTGCTTACCGCTCTTTCACCCTACATTGACGCCGTCTATTCGCGATACTTCCCATTATGAGGTCTTCACTATTTGATACCTAGCAGCGGAAGCTTTGCAAGCAGAATCTGGCTTACAGTGAGACTCTTAAGTCTGGAATAGTCATCATATGGAGCTAGACTTCCAGAGTCAATCTTATTCTCGCAAGTTAGATATTTTGGGTTAAGTCATCTTTGTCAACGACGAGCCAAAGCATCTCACAGGGGAGAACAATAACTTTGCCTTGTGAAGAGATCCATTGAATGTATAAGATGAGATTGAACACAAAGTTTTGACACATACGCAACCCTGTTGAAGCAGGACACAACGTTTGATATTGGACCCTCAGAGTCTAGTGAAGGATCTCTTCGGCGGTTTTTTTGCTGTCCTGATCAAGGGAGTACCTTCAAGCCCCTCACTAATGTCGCGATGAGCGATAAGAGTAGGAAGGCGCAACCACAGACTCATCTTCTGAGATGCCAGTACCCTTTGACTGAAGGTGCGACGTACATCTTGTGGACCGCCGCTTCGCTGTCGAACCAGCATAGGTTCTCATTTACGATCGCGCTTGTGTCAGAGGAAGCTGCGCAAAATCCGTGAGTTCGTGCCCAACTGCATCATTTCATATCTCCGTAACAGTAGTTGAAAGCGAATAATGCGAGTGCAACAAGGAAGTTGGGATAGCCTTGGGTGGTTTGACTGGAGGTCCCGACAACTATTTACTGTACTTACCCGCGCTATCCCTTTCGGGACTAGCGCCATATCTCCGAATTCTTCCATCTGCAACTCCGACTCTTGCTGGATTATCGCTACAAAAAAAGAACCGGACAGGTGGATTGACACGGTTTACAGTTTCCACAGCCCGGAGACTTCATTTTACAAAGACAATGGCATCTTTGACATCCGCCCGAGCGGCCAGGACCGCTCTTTGCTCTGCATGTCGCTTCGCTTATCCCAGCACGACCGTTGGACCTGCTACAGTCATCGCCAGGCGCGGACTGTCGACAGCAACCGAGCAAGCACCAGCCGACATTGCCGATAAGCCGCGATGGTCCTATACCCCTCCAAGCGCAAAGGCTCCCTTCAGTCTGCGATTCGACTCCAAGAGACGGGAGTTTCCCGTCAATTCAGACCCGAAAATTCTCGACCAGTTCTACATTCGCATGCTGGGCGCCGATGGCGACAAGGTTCTCTCGGAGGAGGTAAAGTGGCTGGCTGTGACACATAAGAGCTTCGATCAAGGACGGAGAGGCTTTAACGATCGCTTGGCCTTTCTAGGTGCGCATACTGGATTCCCATGCGTCGGATGAGACGGTAGTTCGCAGGAGACTAATTCTGCTGTTGCAATAGGGAAACGGATCGTTCAATTACAGGCATCTCTGGCTTTAGTGCAGAACCCCGGAAATGCCAGCAGCTCTACCACTCCAGATTCCTTCGGTCGCGAACCCTTTGCCCACCCGGCCCTCGAAGGCCTGAAGAACCTCTCACCTAGCACGAAGAGCTTCCTCACAAGCAAGCCGAAGCTCGCAGAGCTCGCCCAGAAGTACGAGTTACAGAAGGTCCTGAGGTGGAGTCCTCGAAAGGTTAGATTGGTGTCCTCTTACAGTTTTTGCTCATCCTCGCCCTTCCCAGTAATTGACCGCGTACCTGCTGACACGGGTTATTTCTCCCAGCCGAACAACCTCGCCAGCTCTGGAATGGAGCTTGTGCTTGCCCATACCATGTATGCAATTATCGGTGCTATTGCCCTCGAGAAGGGCGGACACGTCGCCAACAAGGTGGCAAGAGAACGGGTATTAGAACCTTTGGGTCTTAAGACAACAGCTTAAAATCGGGATTTCGTTACTGGGAAATGGCCGCAGGAGCATTATCAGGGCGTTGTTTCCATTTGTTTTCCTTTCTGTCTCCGTCTCGGATGTTCCTTGTATGTGTTGGGAGCTCTTTTCTTCGACCGTATATGTACTTTTATTATGACTTGTGCTATATCACTCCAAATACCAGAGCTCTTCGTTCCCGAATATACTTCGTTATACGAAAGGCCCCAGGAAACCATCAAGATCAATTTAAACACAAGGAATGTACGGTTCCTCTGACACCGCCCGAGCAACAGTAAGTAAAATACCCGGCCAGTTCTTATGGAACCCTCATTACGATTTTAGTCTTCGCACCTCTGTATCGCAAGTCAACCATGGAGGCCTGCAGACCATTGTGAACAGAATGTTACAATGGCCACAGAAATCACACGAAGCAATTTGTGCTGCCTTGCACTGTCTATTGGGAGCGTAGAGAAGAAAAAAGGAAAAGAGAAGAGAGAAAATCCAAAGAAGCGAAATATAAACCCTGTCCCCGGGAGGGCCGCTAACCTTCTTCGGGACTTGGCGTGGGGCTGAGATTTGGGTTCCTGAAAATCAAGGTGTTAACGGGCTGGACTGCGACCCCAAATGGGCATCATCTTTGTCCTGCATCGACCTCCTGGCCTCGCTTTCCCCTCGAATAGTGCCATCACCGGGTTCCTTGTTCTGCTTGGCTGGTCGGTTATAGCTCCAGCTTTTTAACAGCGTACTCTTGCCGAATCTTGACCCTTGAGAGCAGAATGTGGCATATTGGACTTGCTGGCCTATTCAGTTGAAACCCGCTCCCACTGATTCCCTGACACAATCGGCATCCATACTATCGCCCTAACTACCACCCTCTCTACCTGCACAATGGCGTCCGCTGTATTCTTCTTGGACCTGAAGGGCAAGGTGAGCAATGCGCCTTAGTATCCTTATTTCTCGACAGCCTGGAACGCGCAAACTGACCGCTCGAGTAGACCCTTTTAGCCCGCAACTACCGTGGAGATATTCCCATGTCCGCAGTCGAGAAATTCCCCATCCTCCTTAACGAAGCCGAAGAAGAAAGCTCCGCCGTCCCTCCCTGTTTCTCCCATGAAGGAATCAATGTACGTTGAGACTCCTGCGAACCTGCACTGCCTGACCTTCGGAGCTTTCCCGCTCCCCGCAACACACCTTCTCCCCTATTCGAACCAGCGACTTGAGCTGGAGGACATACAGGGAGTGTCGGATATTGCTGTGTTATTTCTCTGTGATTGTCAAGTAAAAAAGTTGCTGAGACATGGTGGCTTCGCTCTAGTACCTCTACATTCGTCACAGCAATCTCTACATCCTCGCCCTAACCAAGAGAAATACCAATGCCACCGAGATCCTCCTCTTCCTCCACAAGATCGTGGAAGTCTTTACAGAATATTTCAAAGTCCTGGAGGAAGAGAGTATTCGCGACAACTTCGTCATCATTTACGAGCTGCTGGACGAGATGATGGACTTTGGCTACCCTCAGACAACAGAGAGCAAGATCTTGCAAGAGTGAGTGGCTGTGGCCAGCAGTTGTGGATTTGCGCAGGACCAGAGACTGATTATATGTCTTTCCTCACCCCAGATATATTACACAAGAGTCACACAAGCTTGAGATCCAAGCCCGACCACCTATCGCCGTCACAAATGCGGTCTCCTGGCGAAGCGAGGGCATTCGCTATCGCAAGAACGAAGTCTTCCTCGATGTTGTTGAATCTCTCAATCTCCTGGTATCGGCGTCCGGAAACGTCTTGCGATCGGAGATCCTGGGTGCTATCAAGATGAAGTGTTACCTGAGTGGTATGCCGGAGCTGCGGTTAGGCCTTAACGACAAGGTTATGTTCGAAACGACTGGCCGCGCTACACGAGGCAAGGCGGTCGAAATGGAGGATGTCAAATTCCATCAGTGCGTCCGACTTTCCAGATTCGAGAACGACCGGACTATCAGCTTTATTCCGCCGGACGGAGAGTTTGAACTTATGAGCTACCGTCTCAACACGCAGGTCAAGCCTCTAATCTGGGTAGAGTGTCTGGTCGAATCACATTCGGGCTCCCGAATGGAATATATGTTGAAGGTAAGCGTCTCCCTCAGTCAAGAAGCCCTATAGTAGCATTGGACTGACTCCCTTCGAAAGGCCAAAGCACAATTCAAGCGTCGCAGCACTGCGAACAATGTAGAAATCCTTGTCCCCGTGCCAGAAGACGCAGACTCTCCCCGGTTCCGCACCAATATCGGAAGCGTCCACTACGCGCCCGAAAAGTCGGCGATCATCTGGAAGATCAAGCAGTTCGGTGGAGGGAAGGAGTTCCTCATGCGCGCCGAACTCGGCCTGCCGTCCGTCAAGGGCGACGACGAGCACGGCGGAGGCATGACCGGAGGCTTCGGAGGCAGCATGGGCGGCACCGGGCAAGGCAAAGCCAAGCGACCCATCAACGTCAAGTTTGAAATTCCCTACTTCACCACTAGTGGTATCCAAGTGCGGTACCTGAAGATCACAGAGCCCAAGGTATGTCCAGTTGATTCCGCACCTTATTGGAGATCAAATGCTGATCTGATCTTCTGTTGCAGTTGCAATACCCCTCCCTTCCTTGGGTTCGATACATTACGCAGTCTGGCGATATCGCTGTCCGTATGCCCGATGTACAATGATTTGAAGCCGCCGTGTTAGCTCAAATAGACATTTTTCTTTCTTTTCTGTCCCAGGCCAAAGGTGTCAAGTGGCAGGTAGAGCCTGTCTCCCAGTGTACAGCTCCTGCACCCTCAATAATGACTATACTCCGAACTATTTTATTTTACCCACCTCTAAAGCAGCAGGGGTCAAATGACGCTCAAGCCTATTTGAGCAGGAGCTCGCATGATCGTATGCTGAGCATTCGACTGGTTCCATCTGGAGGCTAAAGAGAAAAGTTGTACCAATATGCAAATAATGTCCGACGATAGATGTGATTTAAATTCGACGAACATTGGCAATTGTCCTTACGAAAGAAATGCCACGATTTGGGTATCTTGTACAGAAAAGAAAACGCATCACTCTCAACCGGAACGCCGTCATCCCAGTACTTTTGGGCATACCAGGTGTAGCTGTATTGTTCACACCGCAGCGCATAGGTCGGAGCCAGATTTGGCCAGATCACCGATTTCCGTAGCAGAAAACTACATACCTACTCTGGCTGTCTGTGGCTTGAGCGTGCTAGCTCAAGCAGTGACACCATTGGCCATCCTCGCTTCTGGAGAGTCCGATGCTGGGAGTGGGAACCCATCCCCGTAGCCTGCCGCCGCGGCCTTGGAGAAGCCTTCTCGGGCCAACATGGTATTCAGGACGGCACAGTTGTACGCTGCTTCGCCTGGCGGGACAACCATAAAGATATATGTATTGTCGGTGAAGCGGCCGAGAAAGACGTTGAACTGCGGGGTCTTGGTGTGCATGACCAGAAAACCGGCTGTGGCTGGTGTCGTGTGCGTATTGCGGGCAGCGCAGTGCTTGAAAGCCTTCATGATATTTGAGAGACGCTCGTGCCGATCATAGATGGGATTCATGTCACCAATCTCGGATGAGACAGAGGTCACGGTCAGGAAAGTCGAGCGCTCGAAGAGGATCACCTCCTCCGCATCGATTCTCTTCGCGAACGCGGTGAGGAACCGTTCGATGACGGTCAGGTTCGGGATGAGCTTGTGGACGATCCCTGCCCATGCCTTGTAAAGTGACTGGTCCCAGATGCTGCTTCCAAAGGTATCAATTGCGAACTGTTCCGAGCGGCTCCGGATCAGCGCCGAGCGTTCCTCGTAGATTCGCTGGCGGTGCTCGGCCTGGATGAGGTCCATCTTGTGTACTAGGCAGAAAACGTGTGCGTTGGGACTGTACTCTTTCAGGGCACCGATGATGGCATTGTATGTGTCGAGGTCGCGTTCGACCTCCCGCGATTCAATGTCGAACACATAGATCAGGACCGCGACGTCGGAGAAGATATTCCCTCGCTGCGAGGCGAGATAGGTCTCCATGAATGCATCTTGCCTGTTGCCCAGTTGACGTGCGCATTAGCCACCAGGCCAACTTCTAAGAAGGACTCGGAAAGACAGCAAACTCACCCTCCACAATCCCAGAGATTCAGCGTGAGATTCCCCATGAACTTGACATGGCTGTGCTCCACGTCAATGGTAGCCCCGAGCCGTCGTACATCCTTCGCGACATAGTTGCTGAAGATGATGGAACGCATAGACGACTTCCCCGAACCACTCTTCCCCATCAAAAGCACCTTTCTCTTCTTCTTGCGTTGATCCATTCTCGATTCTTGGACTGTTCCGCTGCGCTGCCCTAGGTTGATACCAGTACCCGCAATTCACGGGTATCGAGCTTGCTTGAAGAATGGGAAAGGCGGCGCTATCGGGTGGAGTGCAAGTTCTGCAGGTCCCTCCTATACATATGTGCGAATGGACTTTGCGTACAGAGTACGGGATGAACGAGACAATGGGTCTTGGGATTATTGGCTGATGGAGATGGGGGGATGACCAGCCTCCGTCATTGCATCGGCGTCATTTCGTTTGGGTCAACGATGATCCGAATTGGTCACGTGCACTGAATTACAGAGGACGCATAAGGTACAGTCTGCCTTCCTCGGGGCTTTACCGCTAGCTTTCTCGATCAGAGAGAAATACTTTGCTCCATTGAATCATTGAATTGGATTACAATCACTAGTGGAGTGATGTAGATTCCCACCTACACAATCCACCTGCGCAGAATGCTCATCCAGGTGCGAGAGCAGGAAACCCTGGTGAATTCAAAGACAGTCTGATGATGTCCTTGGGTCTCTGAACATCTCAAGAATTCCGAGCGCCTAACTGCTCATTGCAATGGTTCTTGAAGCATCCAATCAGTTTCAATATGAAGATGGAGTAGGAAAACCAGGCAAGGGCCGTAACATCGTCAGTGCTTTTACCCATGTCCACCATGAAAACAAAGAGTACACAGAACATAGTCATAACATGGTCAGAAATGTATCTAGACGAGAAGTAGAAATATATATAGGTAAGGTAGCTTCACCGAAGCTAATACGCACATAACAAAGCGCGTATACACAAACAAGTCAGGGGGATAGAAGACGTATAGCATCTGGTCAGGTCATCAAGAAGTCGTCAAGGCTACGCAAGTCATCAGGTGTGGAGACTAGAAGCTGGCGGGTGTGGGAAGGGTCGCAAATGCATGCTTGTGCTCAGAACACCGTTCCATCGGAGAGAATCATAATTGGAGGTTCTTTGGTGTTTGGTCGGGAGACCTCGGCTATTTCACGGCCGCCCTGTACAGGAATCATTAGAAAAACAATTGCGAGCGGAAACCCCAACGTCAAGATAGCGTACCTTCCATGAGCCAGCTTCGAGCATCTGTGCAAGAGTCAATTGTTCCTCGCCTCTCAGTCCCAGTTGATTGTTCACTTCCATGAGAAGGTCGTCCAAGAATCCAACCGTAACGGCACGCCATTCAACCACCACATCATCATCGGCCGCGAAAAGTGGGACTACCTCCACGTTTGGCTGGCCCTTGATCTGAGCGTTCTGTTTGTATGCTGCGATGCCGCGCTGCAAGTCGGCATCTTTAAGAGCTAACAACCCCATGTCAATGAGGAGGCCGCCATTTCGATATTCAGGTAGTCCAGTTAGGAGGTCGCTGCCAGCGATGTGGATGTTTAGTAACTTTGCCATGGGTACCATGATTGAGTAGCAAAGCCATTGCGTAAGCTTGTGGAAGGGTACGATGCTCTCCCAAGGTTGTGCCGGAGGAGACTGGGGCATGCTTGAGCAGACCCAAGCATCTCCGATAGAAACCCCATCAACTTGGGTTCTCGAAGGCGGCCAAATTGATGCGAATCCATCCATGAGGACTGTCCACAACGTGGTGATGGGAACAATGGGTACAGACGAGGCAAGCGTAGACGGATGAGAAAGCAAGTAGTCTAGACGCACAATGTTAGCAGATAATTCGCTCACGTATCTGATCAGCGGGAAAACTTACCAAGCATGTTCCCTGGCCGAGCGTCTACGCCAAAGAACTCCTGGTTGTTCAGGGCCTCAGACAGCCTCATCAGCAGTCCAGCGCGTCCTTCAAGCCCTGCCAGTTGATTATGTTCAGAATGCTGCATTCCTCTAGCCAATACCTCCACGGTGATCTTCTTCAGGCCCGCACCGTCGACCTGGCATGGTTCCGTGGGATCACTACTGAACAAGCCGCTCTTGAACATCTCCAGAGTGGCTACCGCTAATCCCTCGCTCCGAGAATAAACCTTGCCAGATTCTTTTGATTTGTACGACCACTTCGTGCCTGCACCAGCATCGAGAAGGACGGAGACAACGAAAAGATCAATCAGACGCCGTGTCCGTTCCTGCGCATCAATTGTGCTAGGCCAAGATTGAAGCAATTGATTCACACGGGGCCTCCCGCCAACGTCAAAATGCTGCCAGCGACCGTGGGGTGGAATGGACGCATAATCCGGCGCATAGTCTCTCTGAGGAAAGGTCAATGTTAGCTATAATCCAAGCACCAAAGGTTTAGAGGACCGAGAGAAGGCGCGTACTTTGATGATTGACACAATATAGGAAGCTGTTGCCTTGAATTTGGTCATATCGACATCGAAGTGATTCAATCTGTTCTTCTTTGCCTTGTCGAAAATGATGCGAGATCGCTCACGGACAGCATGGATGCTCCGAAGGTAAGCTGCAGGGTCCAATGCCGGATCTGGGGGCCTGGCAATTGGAAGCTCTGGGATCGAAGCTGGCAGCCCGCTTCCTTTGTATCCGGGGGACCTCAACGATGCATTCGAGGTGCGAGCACTGTTGACAGAAGCGAAAGAATCCTGCTCATCCTTATCGCTCTGAATGGAGTTCTTTGAGTCCTTGCGCTTGAAGAGACCCATGGCGAAGGGAGGTACACGGGGTTGATTGTCGATGGCCGATGAGGAACCCGGCAGTCGTCGTCTAGCGTCTCCAGAAAAGAGGGAGCGAACACTGGTGGAAAGGAATTAGACAGGAGAGTATCTAGAGATTGATTTTTGAGAAAGCAACAGGCGCAAGACAGATCGGCCAAGTTTCACTGAAGGAGAAAGGAGACAGTGCACATCGAAAAGATAATGATCTGCGGCCGATACCTGGAGACACGGAGGAAGCGTTTGTTTTGAGAGCTTGTCGCTGGTTTGGCTGAGAGTTGGTGGACGAGTTGCGCCCCCTCGCTGTTTTTCCCCCTGGGAACGAAAAATTTAATTTCTAAAAAGTAACAATAAATAAATAAATATTGTTAGTATCGGAATAGAGTTAATAATAATAATAATAATGAGATCAATTAAGGCACAGGAGAACCCAGGAAATATAAATCATAATAAATACGCAGTAAAAATGATAGTACTAGTAATAATCAAGCGGGGCGGGTGGGCGACTGGACCTTTTCTGAAAGAGAATTCAGCGTGATTAAGCGGACTCAGAGAACTTTAGGTACGATATTAATCATTTTATCTAGCACCATTCAGGACTAGCACTTGTGAGCGTGCAATCACCGTATTCGACCATGGGAGTTGGGGACTGGTGGAGAGCTTTGCAATTTTGCAAAAGAGCAAAGGGAGTAAGGCAGAAAGAAGAACTCAGGAGGCATCCAGCAGAGTTCAGCGAAGCTTAAGGTAGTGTTGTTGATGGTTAAACAGATCCTTTTCATTCATCCTTGTCACTTGACTTTCAACGGGAAGAGGGGTGTTTTTTCTGCCCCGCGTAAGACCCGAGTTAAAGGTGCACACTAAGGAAAAACTCAAAAAGGACACAGAATTTTACATTCGCGTCATTTTGTAGATAGAAAGTTGAATTCAATCTTACTACTTGTCCGCAGTAGACAGACTCCGATGTTGATATGATTGATGCATTTCTGACTCAGTTATTGTACTACTGCCGGAATAATCAACCCCGCGGAAGTGTCACTGCAGGCCATATTATAATGCTATTCACCTGCTACTTTTGAGTACGGAGTACCGGCCTAAAAATAATGTGACTAGGTAGGTACTATGTAGTACTTATAACAACTATCTATGACTTTCTACCAAGTACCTAGGTACACTCAGTAGAAGGTACTGTACAAGTACAACAGAGTACTAGTAGTGCAGTAAGTATTCATCGTAAGTATCCAGTGTCCACCTTATTAGGTTACTTTTACTACTTACGCCATTAGCATTTCTCTTTCTTTTACCCACAACAGTTAGCGACAACTTCCAAGGGGTGCCGGTATGAGCACGGACAGCCAGGTGGACAAGGCCGGCAAGAATAATTTATCATTTATGGCACTTCTCCGTATTTGGACTATCTATCTAGATTATGGGTCAGGACTCAGGAGTCATTCGCCATTCAAACTGGTCCGGGATCTTTTCCTCTTCTCCCCTTGGCCCCAAGGGTGCGGAAAGCGGATCTAGATTTCTGGCCGGTCCGGATCCTTAGACTACTTTACTTTCCAACGCTTCCATTTTTGGTGGCTGGTGTGTTATCATCGCCACCATCTCGCACCTATGCTTCTTGGTCTTGACACATGTCCTCAATAGTATATCCTGCAGACCTACATAATAATAACAACTATCTACGCGAGAGACTGACTACGTAGAGACGAAAATGCCATTGTTATATGCAAATTGCAAGCCCCACATTTACTTGACGCCACTGGCTACGGGCCAAGTAAGTCAACATTCACAACTCACATGCTGTTGGCTGGAAGCTACTTGCATCTCCCCTCTTATTCTTGTTGTTGCTATCATTGTTGTCGACAAGAATAGCTCAACCTTTCAAGTCATTAGACTGGATGAGTGGCAAACAATAATAGCTTTGCGTTTACTTTGATCCTGATGATCATGCTTGGACTTAAACGGCTGAAGCGGACTGTTCAGCAGACCCACTGTGAGCTCAGATGGCGGGCCATAGCCTGTAGACTCTAGAGAACGGACTACAGAGTATAGCGGTATGTATTATTGTACTATTGACATTGCATCTTATCTAGTTTATATGCTTTTTTGCATTGCTGGAATAGCTTGAATGCGGTGTTACTCTCCTTGTAACCTTCTGGTTTAATAATAATAATTCTTCTGAGACAAATGCACAAAGGCCAGGGTGATATGTGAAAACGCTGTGGACTTCTCCCTGGCCTAACAGGACTAACAGGCTAACATAGATGGCTTATTTTTCGCTTTACGACCCCTTGGACACCCTCTTTAAACCTCAACGCACCGGCGTCAAGATTAGCGCGGGAGACACGATCCTGGCCATACTGCTGGGACTGCTGGGTTTCAAGTTTATTTGTCAATTATTGTCCAAGAGTTTCATTTTGGCTTCTGCCTCTGAGGGGTTGTTTTCGACTTGCATGTGCTTCTTAGCTCCTGCTCCTCCGTCGGCTCAGATTCACCCCTCAGAGGCCCAGCCCGTCAGAACCTTCCATATCAAATGGATAAATTATCCGTCTTACTGCTGAGGGGAGTCGAGTCCGAATGGACGGGCTTTATTTTAGTGTTTTGTGAAAAGGAGAGAACACCGAATTGACTTGCTTCATTCTCCCGCCGTGTTCTTGTTTTAGTCTGTTACCCCCGCCATTGACTGACCATAGTTCCATCTGTGATTATATTGACTAACATCGCGAAGGTCCATCCTGAAAACATGAACATGTTAGAACGATAGTTTGTCCTTTGCCTGGCACGGCTTTTCTGTCGTCGGCAACAATTGCGAACCTCCTCTCTACTAGCTGAGTCGATATGGAAGCATGTAAATGCTTCTGGACGCAGCAAAGACTGATATAATTTCATTAGTAATCATCTTGTGTGATTCATGCAGGCCGAGTCTAATGTAGGAACATATGCAATGTCACACCAGGGTATCCATTCTAGTCTTAGTGTCGGAGATGTCCACTCTCTTTCAAACTGCTGGACCTACTCTGTAGTAGCTGGTGCATGGAACATGATAAAGCGGCAGACAGACAACTGGCAGCAAGTTGTTCCCGGCTTTGTGCCAATGTCTCCATGCAATTATCCTATATTTCGCACTCTCTCAGGATCTTCGCAGTCTCACGGTAGCGTTCGCCTATTGCTTACCTGGCAGCCAATGAGATGCCTCCTGAGAGGAAAAGTTGAGTTGTAAGTTGTAACTTGGTCCACAACTAGACCATTACGAACTCCATGTACTGCTGATCCGGCACCGTACACTCGTAGTCTGTACTGGCAACTGAAAGTGGGACCTGGACTGTCAAGCACCTCTGGCGTCATCTGTCCTTCTGCCAGATCTGACTTTGATAGTGTCATTGTGTACCACGGTACCTGATCTTTTAGGTTGAAATGCACCCTAAGTTGGCAATTGAGCACGCTGCAATGCCAAATAAAGGGGTCGACGACGAGGCCTTTTTCCTCACCTCGCTGGTGATCTGATCATAATCGCATTGTCCTAGTCAATAGTCTCTATGGCATGTCCTCTGCCCAGATATCCATGTAGGTATGACCGTACCACTGACCTGGTATGGAGTACTCCCTTCCAGCTCTCCACAACATTATCAAGCGATGCCCTTGGTCCAGGGTTTTGAGAGAATGTCAACTAAGCTTGGATGAGCATACCTCGTATCGCAAATTGTTATTAATAATAGAGTAAATAGAGACCCTCTTGAAAGGCTTAAATCGAACCAGTTGCTATTCGCTAAGGTAGGTATGCTAATACTGCTGAGCCATGTCTAAGGTAAGGTACCTAGGTAGTGCTGTGGACACCGGTAACTCTGGTACGGTATGGTCAAACACCGAAATGCCGAAGGACTAAGGTACGTAGGTCACTAAGGTACCTACTCCGTACAAGGAAGCCTCCAGGTACTACACGTGATAGCAGATCACATGGTTATCTCCTGAGCCACATCGACCGCTGCGCAGCCACCTCAGCTACCTCAGCCACAATTACGGGTATCTATCTACAGGGGGCAATTGACGGCGAATTTGAGGAGACAGTAGGTGACGGTAAGAAAACACACTGTCTGCGAGGCAGATTCCTGTTCACTTCGTGCTCAATCAGCTCACTCGGCCCTGGTGGCATTCGATGGTGAGATCAGATCATGGAACGCTCGCATCTACGTCTATCTTTCTCCTAATTCCGTCCCCTCCAGACCTCCGCTTGTCATTCCTCTTCACACAATCACAATGGACGACCTGAACGGACTAAGTTGGACATCCAACTCTTCAACGAACGCTCAGAAACCCCCGCCTCTGGGCTCCGGATTCTCGTTTTCCACAGTGACGCGCAATAACATTTCTGGCCGTTCTACCCCCTCTCTGCTACCGGCCCTCTCACCCACCGTCCAAGTCGGCGACCCCGGACAGCGACAGCTTTGCGAATCTTGTATCCTTTGGTTCGTCAAATGCGAATAAGAAACTATCTCTCCTAGAGCAACAGAAGAGGCTGCAAGAAGAGCGCGCCAGAAAGGAAGCAGAGAATAGGTCCAAGTTTGAATCACAATACGGGGACAAAATGCTCATTTCTGGGATAATTTGGAGAAGACCGGGAACAAGAATCCCTTTGCATCGACGCCAAGTCCTGTACCGCAACGAGCTCCCTCCGCCGATGAGGATGATCTTCTTGCTGCTTTCGACGCCTCTGCGCCTGTAGATGCTTCGACGAACTTCCCGATCCCGAGCCCGAGTCGCTCGCCGCAGATCGCGCAGAGCGCCTCTACCGCGGCGGCGCAGCTGCACCAGACCGGTGGAATGTCATTCAACGATGTCGACGATGATCCATTTGGTCTCAATCAGCTAAAGTCGAAGCCAACAGCAACCCCGCAGCCCGCTCAGACCGACGATGATGACTTCCTTGGCTTGCTGGGAAAGCCAGTTTCTGAAGTCTCTCGCCCCGCACCCGAGCCGTCGCCGAAACCCTCATCTCGGGTCATTCATGAGGATCATGCACCGTCCCCCAAGCCGTCCACTGGTGTTGATCGGGCGATTGCAGAGCTTGTAGACATGGGCTTTCCCGCAGACAAGGCCAGCCAGGCACTACGGGCAACGGCGTCTGGCACCGACGTCCAAGCTGCTGTGAGTCTGCTTCTGACGCAGGCACATGAAGAAGCTCGTCAGAAATCGAAAAATAGAGCACCAGCCGTCGACCGTGATCTCGACCATCAGGAACGCAGTAGAGAGCGGGGCTCAAGACAAGATCATGACGTTCCTTCATGGATGAGAGAGGAGCAGTCGAGAAGCCGTGCTAGCAATCGGTCCCCAGCGTCGACAAGCAAAGATCCGTCACAAATCGCCGCTACTTTTAGTAACAATTTCTTGAAGACTGCGAATTCGCTGTGGAAACAGGGGAGCAAAAAGGTTCAGCAGGTCGTTAATGAGCTCAACTCAGATCATGATCAGTCACAGCCTCGGTGGCTGAAAGAAGCTTCGGCCCGTCAGGAGCCCTGGCCACAGCCAACTGACGACGACCGGGCTACTGAAACCTCGCGCAGGAAGCCCGAGGTTCTAACAGATGAGGCTCTTCTCCTTGAACCTGGGGCTGCTCCCCGGCCGTCTCGTAACCAATCTCGAGTCAGCGAAAGGCCCTCGCAGCGAACGCATAGCAATGGCTTACGGAGCCAACAGTCCCCAGCTGGAGAGGCGCGTACCCCGCAGCCTGCTTTCATGCAGCAGCAGTTGAGAAGCGAATCACTGAATCCCAAGTCTCGTGTGTCCAAAAACCTGGTTGAAGAGCAGACGGCGCAAGCGTATGTTAGCCCTGCTAGAAGAAGAAGACCTGCTGCTCAACCATCTGCTCCTGACGCCAATGTGGATTTATTCGACTCTTCTGCACAAACACCGCCAGCCAACCGATCGCGGCCCACTCCACCCCCAGCACAGTCCTCAAAGCCACCTGCGCCATCAAAACCTCTTCCTGTTCGGCCGAAAGCTCCTGCCCGGGTGGTTCCGCAGCTGTCACAAGAAAGTCTCATGTCGACTCACCGGCATCGTGAGAAAGGTACAGAGGCATACAAAAGAGGAGACTATGCCGCAGCTCATGATGCCTTCACCTCTGCACTCACGATGCTACCTGATAAGCATCCCATCACCATCGTCATTCGCAGTAACCGTGCAATGACAGCCTTGAAGGTCGGCGAACCGAAAGTGGCCATCAGTGATGCGGACGCCATCTTGGAGCTGATTGGCCCTTCAAAAGGAGAAGCTGAGACCATTGATCTCGCCAACGGTGAAACGGCAAAGCCAATGAGAGATTTCTACGGCAAAGCCTTGATGCGCAAGGCCGAAGCCTTGGAACAATTGGAACGCTGGGCCGATGCCGCTCAGGCATGGAGACAGGCGGTCGAGAACGGCCATGGCGGAAGTACTAGTATCCAAGGCCGGAACAGATGCGAAAAAGCTGCTGGTATCAGCAAACCCGCACAGAAACCTTCCGCGCCTGCGAAGCGACCGCCAGCACCCGCTCCGAAGAAGCCGTCGGCTTTCGACGACCTCCAAGGTGGCTCGCCGTCGACGGGCGGATCCTTCGAGGCTGTCAGCCGTTTGCGAGCGGCCAACCAGGCAGCCGAGCGCGCGGACGAAGAGAAGTTTGCCCTTGGTGAGAGTGTCGATGCACGGCTAAACGCCTGGAAGGGTGGAAAGCAGGACAACCTTCGCGCACTGCTCGCTAGCCTGGACACAGTCCTGTGGCCCGAAGCAGGCTGGAAGAAGGTCAACATGTCGGAGTTAATTCTGCCGAATAAAGTCAAGGTGCAGTACATGAAGGGGATTGCCAAAGTGCATCCTGACAAGGTATGTTGTCTTTTACGGCATTGATGAAGAGACCACAGCTAAGACGAGTCAGATTCCTACCAACGCCACGACCGAGCAGCGCATGATCGCAGGAGCAGTTTTTGGTGTCCTGAACGAAGCCTGGGACAAGTTCAAGGCAGAGAACAACCTTTAAGGCATCACCATCCATCACTTGGAAAGTTTGAGATGCTCCAGGATGCATGTCTCATGTCTGCTCCTACGATGCTGTGGTTCTGTCCATCTTTACATCACTCATCACTTTAAGCCCGATTCCTCATTCATCCCATATCTCGAATGCATTGGCATATTCTGGTTGAACATCTTAACTCTTGCGCTGCGCCCACAGGGTACAATGCTCTTATGCACTGGTTCTCTTTGTATATACACATTTCCAGATCCCCCAAGTTTTATGGCATACGTGAAGTCAGGATCTTGAGATGCCTGATTATTCATCTTGTATTCCAAGCGTCTAGATTATATCACAATAGCGACAATTCCCATCTATGATTGGTTTTCCTGGGGCTGCGCAGGGACGTCTTCTGACTTTTGCGCCTCTTCCTGCACCTCCTTCTCCTTCGCTTCCCTTTTTAATTGCTTCTTGCCTTTCGGTTTTCCTGCGTCCGGTGAGCCTCCCGTCTTCTGAGCCGGCCAGGTCTGCCGACACCTTTGCTCGTCTTCCTCTGTCCATTCGCGGGGTAGAATAGCGAAGACAAGATACGATGTGTGCGTTTTCAGGTCCGGTTCGGTGCGATGTACCAGGCGGCCGAGTTCGTACGATGGGGTTGATGATGGAGCTGCGGTTGTGTCCGAGTGTTGCTGTATGTCTTGTAGGGTTTTCTCTTCGACTTCTGTCTTCTCTGACTTGGTTGCTGCTGGTTTGTCGGAGGCGGAGGCGGTGCCTTCATCGTCGCTCTCCTGAAGGAGAGACTCGCGGAATCTTTTCGAGTGTTCCTCGACGGCGCGCATCTTTGCGACGGCTTCGTCCACTGACTTGGGGAAGACGGTTGCGCCCCGGACACCTTCGCAATCTAATCCGGTTCGTTCGCGTCTGACATCAATCCGGTGGTGATTCACCTCGACCATTGATATTGAGAGCCAAGAATACTCGCGGAGTGTGGTGATCGTCCGTTGCACTTGCTCGATACATGGGGAGAACGTGCATATATATACCGGCGACGAGGGATCGAGAGGCGATTCCGCTCCCGAAGGGGGCCTGCGGACCAGATGTTTGAGCGCAAGCCATGGCGCCGGTAGGTCGAGGAAGATCGCATTCGCTTTCGGCGATTTGCCGGTTTTGGGGTCCCCCAGGAGAAAACCATCTTCGTAGACATCGCGGTGCGTCACCTCGACCAGTCCATCCAGGCCGTGGTCGTGGATCTCTTCCCGGACTCGTTGTGCGCGCTGTGCGTGGAACTCGAAACTGCAGACCTTTCCTAGCCTTCTTTTCTTGACTGCGGGTGCCTCGGAGGGGTATCCGTTGAAGACTGCGCGGACGGATGCATGTGTGAACGAGCCGCTCCCAGCTCCGGCCTCGATAATCGTGCTCCCGGGGCGAACGCAGAGCCGATGCAGAATGTAGCTGTAGTCTGGTGTGTAGACAACCTGGGTCCGATGCGGGAGCGACGCGGTCCATAACTCCGGTGTGGGGTATAGAAGATGAAGGAACCCGCTGGCCGCCGCGCGGGGGTGCCAGGAGAAGATTGCGCCTCCTCCTTGTTCGATGTCGGGGTGTCCAAATCATCCGCTTTGCGCTTCTTGGACGCCTGATTCTTGCGACCCCGGGAGCCTGTGTCTACTACGGAGGCGACAATTTGCGATCCCCATGGTTGATCGATAAGCGTGCTGTGCGGAAATGACCCGAAACGAGTGTTGGTGACTTTCCCCTCCTTGTACCCCTGATTTTCGTCGTCTTCTAGTTTGAGTATAGTCGGGATGGTCTGGTCTCTGCGGAGATGAAGTAAAGCAAGGTCGCCCAATTCGGACCGAAGGCGGTGGTTGAGGAATGGGGAGCCCATTGCGACTGCCTGCAATCGCAGAGGAGCGGCGAAGAGGGTGCAGAGGTTGTTGAGGAGAGAATGTAGCCCAAGATATCTCTATCCTCGAGCTATCCGTGAAAATCGTCACTCATCTCTAAACTATAGTACTACGCGGCGACAAGCTTTCGAGAATCTCCGATGCGGTCTAGACCCGAAACAGCTTATACGTAGGGCTTAGGGCTCAGGGCTAGATGTCAGGGCGAGGACCTGCTGGTTCCTGCTGGGCTCCGATTGGCTGCATAACTTAGGCCTATCCATGGGATTCTAACCTCAGGCTCCCAGGCCTCCATGAGTCACCCAGTTAGGTAGTTAAACATATTGCTCAACCCTCCCCCTCGTTTTAAGGTGGTCGTACCAAATCTCCGTCTTCCTCTTCTTCCCTCTGTCCTTGATGCCCATATCCTTCTCTCGTATTGCACTCTCGGTTTCTTCTTTTGCAAATCCCTCAAAAGCCCGATTGTCGCTCCTTTCTCCTCTGTTGATTTTTTCTAGATCAATGGCCACCGCGCGCCAGCAGCCGCCATGGCGGCAACCAACAGAGTATCCCGAGGCCAAATCTCGCTTACCACCTCTGAAGATTTGGAATTCGTTGACGCGGTCGAAGAATCCATTTATTCCCATTGACCGGGAAGGCAAGAAGGTGACCTGGTATGCTTGTGGGCCAACTGTCTATGATGATGCGCATTTGGGCCATGCCAGGAACTATGTCAGCACCGATATCATTCGGCGCATCATGCGCGACTACTTTCACTTCGATGTGAATTTTATCATGAACATCACGGATGTCGATGACAAGGTGCGCAAGACTGCCTGTGCCATTGGTTGCTTTAGCAATTGTGCTGATGCAGTGGCATCTAGATCATCCTCCGAGCGCGCCAGCAGCATCTCTTCAACGAGTTCGTCTCCGCCCACCCTACAATCGATGCCGAAGTCCTGGACGTTGCGCGAAATGCATATACTGCCTATTTGAAGAAGAACCTTCCATTACTGAACCCCGAACTGCCCCCGTGGCAGTATGAAGAGGAGGTGGAGAAAGTCTACGCGACTGTGTTGAATGGAGGACCCTTACCCGGCAATGAGAAGGCGGGTGATGACGAGGCAAAGGTTAAGATGCACATCAAGACGGTGGCATCAGCTGCGAAGGTGATCGCGCAGGCGGAAGGCCTCGACCAGGCTACTACCCCCAAGGGCTTCGCCGAGTCGTTCTACACAAATGCTCAGGACCTTCTCCTTCCATATCTGGATTCGCTCAAGGCGTCCTCGATCAATGCGGACGATCATTCTATTTTCACGAAGTTGACGAAGAAGTACGAGGAGCGGTTCTTGAAGGATATGCGCGATCTCAACGTCCTTGACCCCGACGAGTTGACTAGGGTCACCGAGTACGGTGCTGAGATTGCGGACTTTGTGGAGAAGATCGTTGAGAACAAGTTTGGCTACGTTACCGACGACGGTTCGGTATACTTCGATATTACTGCTTTTGAGAATGCCGGGCACCCCTATGCCCGGCTTGAGCCCTGGAGCCGGTCCGATAACAAGCTGCTCGCGGAGGGAGAAGGCGCATTGACCAAGAAGACAGCGGAGAAGCGTTCAGCTTCCGACTTTGCACTTTGGAAGGCGTCGAAGCCTGGTGAGCCCAGCTGGACGAGCTCCTGGGGTCGGGGCAGGCCGGGCTGGCACATTGAATGCTCTGCGATGGCTTCGGCTAAGCTTGGCAAGCAGATGGATATCCACTCGGGAGGTGTTGATCTAGCTTTCCCTCACCATGACAACGAGCTGGCGCAGAGTGAGGCTTATTGGTCCCATGGCCACACACACACTGATCAGTGGGTCAACTATTTCTTGCATATGGGTCATCTGTCGATCCAAGGGTCAAAGATGTCGAAGTCGCTTAAGAACTTCACAACCATCCGTGAGGCACTAGAGAGAAAGGAGTGGACACCGCGCAGTCTCAGGATTGTCTTCTTGCTCGGCGGTTGGAGGGACGGCGTTGAAATCACAGAGGAACTCGTTAGTGCTGGAAATTCTTGGGAGGACAAGGTCAATAATTTCTTCATCAAGATGAAGGACCCTGCGACTCTATCAGGCCAGACCTCGGGCACTGACACCACGCTTCCTGCCGCTCTGGAGGTTGCGAAGAAGGCTACTTTCGATCATCTCTGCGACTCCTTCAATACGCAGGGAGCGATGTCTGCTATTTCAGAGCTGATCTCAAAATACAACGGCGCCGACAAGTCTACACTCAATCCCAAGGATGTCGAGGCTGTCGCCCGGTGGGTGACCTCGATGGTGAATATCTTTGGTTTGAATGGCAGCGCAACCGCCGACAGCACGGAAATTGGCTGGTCAGGTATTGATGTGCCTGAAGAAGCCAAGCCTTTCCTGTACCCGCTCTCCAGCATCCGTGACTCGCTCCGCCAGGCTGCGCGGGCTAAGGAGGGAGTTAACCCGGAGACTGTTGCGGAGATTGTGAACAAGGGAGAAGTGCCAGAGCACGACCTGACTGAATCCGCAAAACCTTATGCCGAACTTCTTTCGAACTTCCGCACTAAGGTGTCCTCTATCCAACAATCCGAGTCGCTTGGCAAGGAGATCCTGGCACTCTGCGATCGCGTTCGCGACATCGACCTGTTCGATCTCGGCATCTACCTTGAAGACCGGGAGAATCTTCCCGCCTTGGTCCGTCCTGTTACCCGAGAGCTGATCCAGGCTCGGGAGGAGAAGGCAGCGCGGGCGCGCCAGAAGCAGATTGAAAAGGAAAACAAGGAGAAGGAAGCCCTCAAGAAACTGGAGAAGGGCAAACTGAGCCACCTGGAGTTGTTCCGGACCAACGAGTACAGCGCCTGGGATGAAGAGGGTATCCCCACTCGCGATGCTGCAGGCGAGGAGATTACGAAGAGTCGGGCGAAAAAGCTTCGGAAGGACTGGGAGAGACAGAAGAAGCTACATGAGACTTGGCTGGCCAGTCAAATGGGTGCCAAATAGGGGGAGAGTGTGTCATAAAACAGTCTTTCGGATGTATCTATGCATTATAATGGCGTTCTTGGTTCGCCGTCTGGCAGACCCTTTCGGTCATATCTATATCTACAACTAACCTTGATGATCGTTTATAGCAATCAAGCCAAGCCATCGGAAATATTAGATCCCCCATAGTTTTGTATCTGCTGAATGAAGAGGGTTATGCAGTTTATGCGCCGCACAAGACCCCGGATCACATGCTAACAGCTCATGTGATCCACTCAGTCACCAGACAGATAGATAAACACTACGGTACAGAGTTGTACTAAGAACCGCCATTATTATTTGATCATCTCATCAGAAAAAATGACGCTTCTTAAAATCAAGGTTAGGTGGCTCTGTGTCTACTCCACAGTCCACGTCCGAAACACCATCGGCCCATCTGGAGATACCTCCGAATTAGGGATCGTTGGCCGACAAGCTGCAGGCCGACACCTTTCGACCTCGGCAAGTTGCCCTCCCCACACCTAGAGGCCCGCGGTTACACAGTTCATAGTGGTCAGCACAACGGCCGATTTCTCAGCCTGGCGAAGCTGTCAACTCATGTTAATAGCTGCTTCTTCCTGTTTTCTAGAGATTCTTTGAAGACTTTTGCATAGAAGAATTCAACCATCATCGCATTTTTAGAACTTGATAGCGGTGTTTCATTCTGTTAGCTCCTCTCCTCGACAAGATGCCTTTCCACACTGCGTTAACGAGGAAACTGGGCATCGCCGGTGAGTTGCATGGACTTGGGGTTGTGGAAAGGTGCTCAGGTAGCTGACGGATTTACAGTCCCTGTGGTACAGGGAGGTATGCAATGGGTTGGATACGCAGAGCTCGCTGCGGCGGTTAGCAACGCAGGTGGTCTGGGAATTGTACGTCTACGGGTCTCGACGCAATGAAGAAGACAGCTAACTCAGGAAAGCTCACTGCACTCACGCAACCCACCCCTGAAGACCTCCGCAAGGAGATTCGCCGATGCCGAACCATGACCAAGAAGCCCTTCGGCGTGAACCTGACCCTCCTCCCGGCCCTTGTGCCCCCAGACTACGCTGCCTACGCACAAGTAATCATCGACGAGGGCGTCAAGATCGTCGAGACAGCCGGCAACAACCCCGGCCCCGTGATCACGCAGTTGAAGAAGGCCAACACGATCATCCTGCACAAGTGCACGACCATCCGCCACGCCAAGTCCGCCGTGAAGCTGGGCGTGGACTTCCTGTCCATCGACGGCTTCGAGTGCGCCGGCCACGTCGGCGAGCACGACATCACAAACTTCATTCTCCTCAGCCGGGCGCGCCAGGAGCTCAACGTTCCCTTCATCGCCTCGGGTGGGTTCGCGGACGGACAGGGTCTTGCGGCGGCGCTGGCGCTCGGTGCGGAAGGTATCAACATGGGTACCCGGTTCATGTGCACTGTTGAGGCGCCCATCCATCAGAAGGTCAAGGAGGCCATTGTGGCGTCGGACGAGAACAACACCAACCTGGTTATGAGACGGTGGAAGAACACCTCCCGTCTGTTCAAGAACAAGGTGTCGGAGGAGGCGCTGAAGGTCGAGAGGGAGAGCAAGACGGGCGAGTTTGCCGAGATTGCGCCCTTCGTTAGCGGCAAGAGAGGCCGTGAGGTGTTCCTGAACGGCGACATTGACTACGGTGTAAGTTCCTATCCCCTTCCCGTTAACATCCCTTGTTATGCGCCGCGATTCCATAGACTAACATGGTTTAATTTGCAGGTATGGACCGCGGGTCAAGTCATTGGTCTGATTCACGACATCCCGACGTGCGCGGACCTCCTGCAGCGGATTGAGAGAGAGGCCGTCGAGGCCATTGATCGGTCTAAGTCGTTGTACACGGCAACCGCAGGGCAAAGCAAGCTGTGAGGTTTGACTATGTAGCTCTGTTGCTCTGTTTCGTACGTCAACAATCCAGATTGAGATTGTTGGATCATGGATGTTTGTCATTGGTACCTGGAATGTAGATCACCATTATAAGTGAGATGAACACTGGATTGCCTCTTTCCTTGTTGATCCTCTCTAGGTAAACCTCTTCCTGCGGAATGTAAGGACTTTTGGCTATTTTTCTGGATCTGCACATGTATTTGACAAAGCACGGAGTTTATCCCTTGCCTCCCTTCCATAGCGGAGCGGACAATTACCGGCATTTATCTCATAAGGGAACGTGACTTTCTCGGAGCGTGTAAACAAAGAGCATGGAGGCCTATCTGAAAGTAAATGTCTCTTTTGGACAGAGAACGGTGTAGCAGATGTCAGAAAGGAGCATGTTAAATGGAGTAGAAGGGGTTCAGTCTGATTTTCATAGCCATATCCGTAGTGTCATAGCCCTAACTAATCATACATCTATTAGGAGCCAGCAAGCTCATAAAATTAAGATCAACCATATACGAATATCACCATTGCTTTCTCCTCGAGTCGTGCTCGATTCAGTCATGCAAATAAAGCCATAGACTTCAAACATGTTTCTGTTCCTTACTTTGCACTACTCTATACACCGAGCATAAGGCTCCAATTGTTCGACTAAATCAGTATCAAATAGATAGAACCACGGATCAGCTGAGATACTGTCTCAAGTGTCAGGCAGAAGGTTAATTTGTTTGTTGACATGGTTGTCGCCGATGGAAGGCGACGAGATGCATCTATATATGCCGGTAGACGTACCTGTAACTGGAGTGCATCCGCGTCAGTTCCGCAACTCAGAGTTTACTTTCAGGAAGTGTACTAGGGATCCATGAACAGACACCCATCGCAAGCATGGACTTGATATCTTCTATCTTTCCCTGTGCCCAGCGGCGCAAGCCGCTGAAATTCCCCGCTCAAGAGCGAAATGGCGCACAGCCAGAGAGTGAAGCGTCTCACGCCTCTTCAGCAGCGTCAAGAACCGTCCCCAGCAAGTCCTCAGTGAGGATGTCGGTTCGGATTGTTGAAGCAGTCGACTCGCAGACGACCATTTGCCCCGAGGAGCCCGTGAATGACCATGACGGGCTATTGGAGAACGAGAACGAGAACGAGAAACAGAGGCCTCTAGTCTCATCTATCGAGCATAAAGACGCAGACGCAGGCGCAGATGCGGACTCAGCGGAAGACGCCAACATTAGAGTCATCCACATGGATCTGAGCGATACCCCGACAGCAACCCACGACCGTCACAATCAAAATCCAAAAGAACCACTGATTCCCGCCCTCCCCCGAAAGCCGCAAAGCTCCCCGAGGTCAAAAGCCGCATGATAGAGAATATCCCCGAGGAAAGCGACGACGAGGAGGAGGGCAACACACCGTCATTCGAAGACGACGCTGCCGAGAAATCATCTCAAGACGCCAAACGCAACTCAACCTGGCGCCAGAGCTCCAGAAAGTCTCTAGTCGACATCATCAACCTCCTGCAATCGACGACCAGCAACAACATCAGCACCCTCCGCATCAACAGCCTGAAGTGGCCCTTACCTCCCAAATCCCCCACCGCCCACGGCCCTCCACAGCTTTATCCTGCCGGTCTTCGACTTCGTTCAGCTCGTCGGTAACAGCCACCGTAGAGTTCGAGAAGCCGACCCCCATCGTCAAGAAAGAGAGACGGATGGGAGCAGCGATGCTCCCCTCCATCCGACTTGGGGCCAGGAGATGGAGCGTCGATGACGGTGGCATTGGCAATGACGGCAGCATGAACCCCAAGGGGCCTCGCCCTCTTTTTTGCGAGTAACGGAGTTCGGAGTCTGGCTTTGTTCTTTCGGGCTGTTTTTGCGGTTGTGGGGCTGGGTTTCTATGGTCGTTTGGGGTCCTGGTTGCGGGGGCTGTTATCTTGCCTGTGGATATTTGATTCTTCTTCTCTTCTTCCTTTTGTTTTCGTGTCTTTTCTTTCTGGGGTGATGGATTGATATACATACTTTCAATAACTTAATCCTGTAACTTGCTGGCAAAGAAGGAGATTTCAAATGCGATATTCTTAATGTCAATCAGAGCATTTTGCTATTCATCTCAGTGTTAGGTGCAAAGTTCATCGAAGTAATTGGCAATATGTTGAACACACTACTGCACGACCATTTCTGCTAGCTAGGAATGCCTGTCTAGGCACCTTTTTAACTCAGTGATTTCAAGTGCATTCGACGATATCTGGATCGACTATACCGGTACATGGAGCTTCGAAATAGCCACACAGAGTGGATACCGATGAAACGTGCGACTACAGGTCTCCGGTGATCAAGTGATTCAGATAGGAAGCTGATCAAGTGGATTGCAAATACAACGCGTCGCATATAGGACGGAAGATTGCGGTGGAATGGCTGTTGAAATGTATGGCGCGCTTCCTGTGTGAGAGGAATGCTGGAGATGCACGCGACGTCCATAGGGAATGACCATGGCACGAACTACAATGTTCGTCATCAGGAAAGAGATTTGTCAGGAAAGAAGGTTAGAGGCAATTCTATGCATTAAATTATGTATGACAAAGCCAGCATCGATAAATGCCGGTTGCCCACAGGCAGAAAGTATTGAGGAAAACAGTGCAATCTTCTTTCTCCGAGTGCCACAGCACAATTAATGATACACAATTCAGCAACAGGTACCATATCTATCAAACAGAAGATTCCCGGGACCCTGCTCCCTACCCCGAGCCGCCATATCGAATCTCCACACGCTGGCTGAGAGCGCCAACAGCAGAAGCGACGAGTAGCTTACAGGATAGAACCGAGGGCAATGCAAGGAAGACCCAGGCCAATGAGGGAACCGCTCTGGTAGACGTTAGTAGTGAACTAGACATTTGTAGAAAGAAGACTTACGGCATCGGAAGGAGAGTTCTGGCAGCAGGCAATGTTCTGCTTGCACTTCTGGTTGACCAGATCCTGGACGGCAATAGCAATGATGGGGACTGGAATATGTCAGTATGGACGACCAATCTTCGGAACAGCTTAACATACTCTGGAGGTCCAGCTTGGAGCACTGGTTGAAGAGACCGAGACCCTCGGAGCCAGATCCACCACCGATGAGGTTCTTGAGGGTACCAGCGAGGATACCCTCGTCGATGTCGGTGACATCACCGGCGTAGGTGGCCTTGTTGCAGCAAGAGAGCTGAGCCTGGTCACCACACTTCTCGGTAGCCTGCTTCACGGTGATGTCGTCAGGAACGGGGAAGCGGACGTTGGCGTTCCCCTTGTTGCCAACACCATTGCCAGCAGCGTTAGCATCGTGCTGGGGAAGGGCGGCCACGGAAACGGCGAAAGCGAGGACAGCAGCGCTCAAGGAGAACTTCATTGTGACGGTGGGGTTTGAAAAGGGAGTGAAGACTCGGAGTGAATTGGGTTTGGAAAAAAAGTGAGAAGATTGTACTTCGAAGGAAAGGCTTGTCAACGAGGGTGATGGTTGATGGAGAGGAAAGAGAATGGCCACAGGTGAAGTGAAGACATCTTTATATAGACTCAGGTGGAGGCAGCGAGCTCTCTGTTGATGCTAGTTCTATCCGCCCTTGATTGAGCTCTCTGTCATGGTAGCTATCCAGCTTGAGTCCCTGAGTGGAATGTGGTATGCAAGGAATCCATCGTGATTTGTCCCTCCAGAGTCAGAACCGCGTTATCGCAATCTCGCAGCCCTGGATTAGAGCTCTCTGCCCCAGCGGTTGGTATGGATCTGCAAAACATTCGATTGATCTGAACCAACAAGTCAGCTTCCAGCATACCACGCTCTCGTGAGCCACGCCTCGTTCAGGGGACCGGCCGTGCGTCGACTGAGACCGCATAGTCCGCGTCTTCTGTCTCATTCCCCTGGTTCTACGACGTCGATCATACATGCAAGCGGTAAACTCACCTGTGCCCGCTTGGTCATTGGGTTGCATTACCTGCCGCGGAGCTATCGCAGGCTTACCGCATTCAAAACAACTTTCAATTTCTTGAGTCTCCATATCACACGATTATGGCCAATTCCTGCGGTTCCAGCCATTCCATCAGTGGCGCACCCCGTATGACTCCACTCTCACTTGATACAGAGTGAGCGCCTGCTGGCATAGTACGGGAAGGGCTAACCCTTATGCGACTAGGGATCGGAGTATTCAAGGGCCTCTCGTTCGGCATGCAGGTGCCAATGGTTTCAACGTGCGTGCTGCTGATTTAATCCAAGGTTGCAGAAGCTTGCAGGGCCTGCAAAGCCTTCTTGTTGATCTGCAAGGGACTCTCCATCTCGTTCGACTGGTGGATAGTGTATAGTCATCGCAAGGGTTACTACGTAGCTGACCCTGTCCCATGGCTCAGCTGTCCAGCCTCATTCTATCTCGTCATAAACAAGATTAAATTTTCCGAGCGTGCTCGAGCCGGTTTCTCTTGTGTTTCCTTTGGTGAGAGCTCCAGCCAGGCTCAAGTGGGCAAGGGAAAGCTGATTTCCTCCTTTGCTTTGTTCCTGGCAACAAGCGAGGCAAGGGGCTGTCTATCGGAACTATGGAGCACGTAGATGCGTGCTTTTTCCCAGATGGCGCCAATGATAGGCCATCCTGTCTTCCCGAATGTAACTCGCTCCGTTCGCAGTTGCTCGTCGCTGAGTCGTGATGAAATCGACTTTGGTTTCTCTTTCCGTTTTCACTCTAGCTCACATGTTGCTGTCGGGGAAACACTCCCTGCGCTCCACATTACTCGATTGAGGATCTTTCAAAACAAATAATAAAGAGCCTCCTCGTGCTGGATGGATGTGAGCTGGTCGCATGGTCTGATCATGAGTTGTAGTCATGTATGGCAGGCGTCTCGACAGTGTAGCCGTAAGCCGTACTCCAGTCTCCAGTCGTCGAAGAGGTCTACAGAACGGTACTATCTCCAATTAGGATTACCTCGAGCGAAGGCTATGTTCTCTCATTGTCGTACTGTTTCGCCTATGCTGCTCGTCTCTATACAATGTCTGTTCCGAGGTGCCAGTATACTTCGATATGGAGTAGATGGTTCCTTCACACATAAAGTTATTCGTTCAAGATCATGCTCGTAGGCATTCGATGGGACCGTGTAGCTAGTGGACTAGGTTTAGGGACTCCATTGTTATCCTTGATGTTACCTTCTGCTGGCATGAATGGTAATGGTAGGTGTTGGGACTGTATCTCTGTTGGTTAAAATATATATTTCTACCTGCCACATCCGGACCACATCCACCCAATGGAACATCCCACAACATGTATGAACTTTCATTTATAACTCTGTATATTTAGCACTATAGGATACAGGTGTGGATGCTACAACAAATGTAGCGGTACTATATGAGCTACGATATGTTGTTAATGCTATTGTGAGCTTCGTTGGTCTATACATGGCCGAGAAGTGACAAGCCGCGGAGTATGTTAAAGTCCATCTTAAAGGCCGCTCAATCTATTACTACCTAGTTCCCCACTAGCCTCGTCCAGAAATATACTACAAGTCAATGATTCATATATCTCACCACAGAATGTTATTATGGCAGAGAAATCTTTCATTTTGACTATAGTATCAACTGGCTCCCTTTCACTGTCACCTCATCATAGACCAGCGCAAACTACCACTCGGCATCACTAACGTCTCATCGACCTCATGATCGATTCTATGTGACAAACTATTAGTATGATGCAATGACCTATCCAAGTATCTACAGTCGTGGCTATCTAAGCGGTCACATTCCTGCCTTGTACTCTAATCTCGTTGATTATCCCTTGACCGAGGCAGTCTTAAATGATACCGAGAACGGGGCGAATAATCTTAACATCTGACTCAAAGTCTAGACATTGCTAATGAGATCTACCCTCAATGGAATGCTGAGGATGAGTTTCAAATTGCTGACTGCCCAGCTGTGATGACACAAACAAACACAACGAGTCATCCGCGATCTCCCAGGTTGTTGCCGTCACTGTCCAGTCCATTATCGCGGCCATAGGCCCTTCTGCGTAGAAGTGGTTCTATCTCTCAACTATCGAGGTTACTGAAAATCAGCTTAGATCCAACCCTCGATATCAACCTAGACTAGGCTGAGCGTTCTTCCTATTGCTGCATCTTGACGTCCTGATTACTGGTTCTTGCTCGAGACTATTCCAGCAAGCAACAGAGCCTTTAATGGAACTTTCCATCGGTCTGATAAAAGAAGTCACGCTTGCATCTTTGACGCGTTGGTCTTGATTTATGCTAGCAGACTGCCAACGTCGAGTTCGAAGTAGCTTCGACTCTCTGTTTCTGCGGCGAGCAAATTGGCAAAAAGATGAATTATAGTATTCTGGATGATAAGCCGGAGTGAAAATGAGAATATCATTTACATATGCCTTTCAACCCGTGAGAGCGTCGACCACCAAGTCCACACAAGTATGCTAGACAGTCAGAACAGTGGACTCCTGCTTTGATGCCTTAGTGCCTCAGGATCCGTAAAAGAAGACATATGCACTAGTCCCAATATGGTTGGCGTACGATGATGATTGTCGGAGTTGATCATCCGCTGCGGAACATCTGTAATTTGCAAGTAATTCTGCTACGCCTCTCCGCATCTCTGTTGACAAGCATCGGACGTGCTCTCCAACTGTTCAAGCAGTGCTAACTCCAAAATGTCCGCAAAACCTCCATCTAGTCCTCTTGACCGTTCCCCCAGCACAGAGAAAGGCGCCGCGGACAGCTTATCGGAGCTGCCCGTGGACAACCAGGAAGAATCGAAGACTCGCGCCCAGGATACATATGAGGACGAACAATCAACACAGAACGAGGACGAGGGAAATGACACATCACCGAGCAAAACACAAGATGCCGAACAAAAAACAACAGGCCCACATGATGATAAAGAGAATGCCAAAGAGGAGGACGCTTCTGCGCCACCATTACCAGACGAGCCACTCCCACCACCGCTACCCAACGAGGCTCCTCCCGATGAGGACGATGGCTGGGAGCCTGTCTGGGATGCAACCGCTCAAGCGTACTACTTTTACAACCGCTTCACCGGCGTTTCGCAATGGGAAAACCCACGGGTGCCGGATGCCGCATCAGCACCAGCACCGGCATTAGCACCGGTGCCTCTGGGTGACGCCGCGGAAGGTGTAAAGGAGAAAAGCCTCGTCGTAGGCGGCTACAATCCGGCGATCCATGGTGATTACGATCCCACGGCGTCCTACGCGCAGCAGTATGAGGAGCCCACCCTCGGAGGTGCTGCGGCGGATCCCAGTGGCTCTTACGGGGCTGTTGGTGCGTTCAACAGGTTCACAGGCCGGTGGCAGCCTGCCACTCTGACACCGGAGAACTACAATGATGAGAATAAATCGCGGCGGCAGATGAATGCGTTCTTTGATGTGGATGCGGCTGCCAATGCCCATGACGGGCGGAGTCTGCGGGCGGAGCGCAGTGCTAGGAAACTCACCAAGAAGGAATTGAAGATGTTCAAAGAGAAGAGAAGGGAGAAGAAAGAGGAGAAGCGGAGGGCGTGGCTACGCGATTGATGCGAGGAATGGTATTGTTGTTTTCGTACTACTGCTGCTAGACTTTTTGAGATACCTTGAGATACCTTTTGATTCTGTGCATGGGTTGGGGGCGTTTTTGACAGATGTACTATATGGGATTGCATAGCATAGAAGCAGCGCGCTTTTTCTCTTCCATTGACCGTCCCCAGAAGATTCGTAGTCCGCACCGTGGTGGACTCTGCGTAGCTGCCATCCAAGGTTCCCCACAATTGGTCACGTGCTATTGATATCGAAGTTTCTTTTTGCAACTATCAACGAGTATACAGTTGGGATATTGAGCAAAACGCGAAGTATATAAAGCTTGGAGTATATAAAGCTTCAAGTACCAGTCTTCATCCTAAGGTTAGTAAATTTACATTCTGTTTGTTTGTGGTAGTCGTTCTGTGATATCAACTTTTGCGAGAGCGCCTTATCGATATATATCAAGCATCATGGAGGGGCATAACTGTTCTACAAATTGGACGTGTCGATGATGCACAATGATCTCTATTGATTATCGTTTCATGCTATCCATCTACACCTTTCAATTGTGATTTTTAAGCTCCTATTGTTTGTGCTTGGTTTGTTGAAAAATTTTCTCATCCGGCTGCCATCGGTAGAATCGCTTCAGAAATGAAAAAAAGCAACTTATATTTCAATAACTAACTAAGTCACAGATACCAAATCACTGCATTGGTCCGCATCTGGAATCAGATAGAGCAAGCACATCCAGAAGCATTTTCTTCTAGAATCTAGAAGCCCAAGGAAACACAGACAGCGCAAGATGTCTACATCCACGCCCGTCAAGCTCTCCTTCGAGGCAATCGACGACCTCATCTACGACGCCCGCGCAGGCGACCTGGAAGCCCTCAAGGCAGACCTCGCCACCCAAAGCAAAGAGCACAATTGCCCGGAGGCCTGGATCATCGCCTCCGCCATCGACGCCGAGCCCGAAGCCGAGGGCGGCTCTGGCTCCTGCCTGCTTCATTTCCCCGCGGCGAATGGCAATGCCGGTACGTCCACCCTACTCTTGTATTGTATATATGGGCGTGGCTGACGAATGCATGCAGAAATCCTCAACTATCTCTTGGCAACTCTAACCGCGCAATCTGCGGCGCCGCTCTCGGCGGAGCAGATCGCGGCTGTGGTTAACCATCGCAATCACTCGGGGAATACGCCGCTGCACTGGGCTGCGCTGAACACGCACCTGGAGTGTGTGAAGGCGCTTGTTGAGGCGGGTGCGGATATCGGTGTTAAGAATGATGCGGGGCTGGATGCGATTTTCCTGGCGGAGAGGACGGCTTGGTCGACTGAGGAGGAAGGGAAGGAGGCGCCTGCTGAGGAGGAAGGTGCTGGGGAGATGTCCAAGGGCGGCAGGTTGTGGAGTGGTTGCTGAGCTCGGATAAGGCTGGTGACTTGGAGGGAGGTCTCAGTGTTAGTGCTGGTGTTGGTGCTGAGGGATCAGCATCAGCGTCAGGGTCTGGGGAGGCGATGGATGTGGATGAGAAGAAATGATTACGACTATCCTCCCCTTTTTGTTGCCTTCCGAGTAAATATTTCTTTTGTTACGAATACCATTAGACAAAAGTTCTGAGTTGACACCTTGACAATGATAGGTTAATTCTCCTGTATCTAGATCTAGTTCGTATGTTCAGCGTCGCTGGTCTATCTATATTGATATGTAAACATGAAATGTACTATTAGTCGCGTCGAGCCTTGCCTTGCCCACTGGAGGATAAGCGCGAGGCTGGACTGGAGTAAGAACCTTCCATCTGCACGCCCTTCCCATCTCTGATTTCCCGGACCTTCATATTAAGACCGACCCGGAACCGTCGGTCTCGCCATTGAACAGTGACGCCCCCGTAGAAGGCCCAAATCCAGATGGGCAGAGCGAGCATCTCTCGGCCCAGCCATGCCGCAAACCAGTGGGAGAACGGCCGTCTCGTCCTTCGGCGTGCGGGAGGCTGTGCAAAGCAGGGCGTGTCGTCGTTCAGCTCGACGGCCTTCGCGGAATGTAATTTGATGTACAGTGTCCAGTCGACCAATATCCAGGCTGCGATGCTCAGGAAGAAGAATGCGAAGAACGCTGTCCACGAGGTCATCTGGCCTGCGAATCCCAACCCTTTGCGCTGCAGGAACTGAGCAAGAGATGTGGTAACACCCCATGCTCCGTACAGAGAACATAGGATTGATTCCGTGCCTGGCTCAACCATAGTCGCAAGGAGGACGGTGAACTTGCGCACGCGAAGCCACCGAACTCGACGTGCCATATAGCCCCGGACACTCATGCTCGCCACAGGCTGGACGGCAAGGTCGCCAAAGACCATGCCATGTTTGCCCCAGCTTTCGCCCAATTCCTTCTCTTCACGTATCTGCTTTTTCCAAAGCAGATCACCAATCAAATGATCCTCGCAGATATTGTCAGAGAAATAATCAATACCGGGACGGCGGGGCTGCGAGTCCATCGGGGATGGTTTCGTCAAATAGTCCAAATGAGACCGGCGAAACATGTTGGATTTCCCAACAATGCACGGCGCAATGAGAACAGTGTTAATGGCAGTATACATCTTCGCATGCGAGGACGCCAGAAACAACTCCTCTAATCGACCGCCCCCAGTCGCAAGCCAGCCAACTTCTCGGTGCTGTTGCTCAATCATGGCAAAAGCGTCGCGCCTCTCAGAAGCAGAATCGCCTTGGGCGCACGCTTGAAGAAGGGCCTGCCGCTCCTCCCTCAAACCGCTAGTCCCCGTCACATCCACCGCAATGGGCAAGTGGTGTACGAACTTGTACTTCCTGCCCGGTGTGTCACCAATCCCGCATAGTCTGTCCACCATCCGCCCGCAAACCCCTCGTCCCACCCACACGTTGCAGTCCAGGATCCATACAATATCACCCTTGGCCTCTCGGTAGGCACGGCTCATGTTTCGAATCTTCGGATTCGGTCCCAGATTGTAATTGGCTGCATTGTTAGGCTGGAGTAACGGATCCTCTTCTTCGATGTAGATGTGCGCATCGGCCTGCGGGAAATCTGACAGAAGTTTCTGCAGGGTTGGATAAGCGGGGTCTGCTCGGGACGAGACGCAGAAGTAGACGGTCAGTTTGTCACGGGGATAGTCTTGGTAGAAAGTCGCAGCCAGGCAGTCGTAGAGATACGGCTCAAGGCCTTTGATGGGCCGAATCGCGGTGACGTGAGGGGCGTTGGAGGACGAGGCTGCATGGGATTTCCGAGGTCTGCGCGAGAAGTGCATCCATCTGTTCACGTACCACACATTAGCTCAGGTCGCAGGGGGCAATTGAAAAAAAACAAAAAATACATTTGAAAGTATCCCAGAAGACAGACGGCGAACACGGTCGTATACCAGATCAAGCACACCCAACCCACTGCAGTCGACCACGCGAGTTCGCCATGTCCGACGGCCGATCCGACATTCAAGCGGCTCAAATGCGACTGAAGCTCTAGCATGGGCAAAGAAGACGACAAAGAAACGACTGAGAGGGGACGCAGACGTTCAAAGAGGACATTCTACTGGAGACGGGCGGTGGAGAAATTCGACAGAAGTGAAAGTGGTCGCCGGAAGCACTAGGATGGCATCGATCGTGCTCATCGTCTGATTCACAACGGTACCGCCAAGCTATAGAATTATTATATTGTCATGTCCTTATGGGAGAGACATGCTTGCATAGTCATGTCACTAACTTGGACTAATTGGGTCGATATTCCACTTGGATGCAACGGTTCATCTTGTTGGGCTATGACTAGACAGCGGAGTGGACACTTGGAAAACAAACGTGTCAGCTCACAGCCTCAATTCAATTCAGGCAGCGCAATAATCATGTTGTCTTAGAACAGACACAAGCAACTTTGATCTAGTTGCGTATTCTCATACCCTAGCTCAATGATTACTTCACAGGTCTATTCGGAAAAGAAAAGAAGGGTTGTTTTCATTATTTTACCTTTAATCGTTTGCAATAGCACCGTAAGCTCAAAATAAATACAAATACAAATGGAGCTTTAATATCTCAACGATAAGCAAATCCCTCAATGCCAAGTATGGATTCCATACGCTGCTCCAATGACACCAAAACAGCCAATACCCTCCTGAACCATGTAGCTGTCGCCCCAGCTCGAGAAAAAAAAAGATAGACCGAACTCCGAGATCGCCATTCCATGCAGAGCGCAGTGATGCGGACCTATGTCTTCTTCTTCTTTCGAACCAGGTTGGCATTGAGCACGTTCACACTGGGTGCCTGATTCGACTGGACGGGAGTTGGGTTGGCCGCTTCAGAATCCCCCGGCGCACCTTCTACCTCCCCTGGCTTGTCGCTCTCCGTATCAGCCGTTTTGCGCTTTCGAACAAAGGCTGTATTAATGACAGTTGTAGCGTCCGTATGTTTCTGACCAGGCTCCGTCGAAGTATTTCTCCCCTCGACCCGTTGACCAACCCAAAGCTGATCAGCGAGCGAGGCAACTTTCTCGGCCCATGCCTTTGTGCTGGCGATAGCTTTATGTTTGGTGTCAAAGTCTTGATCGATGAGAAAGTTGATTGCCGCCTTGTAGTCTTCCTCACTCAAGACTGCGTGACCTCGGCCTGTATCTGGCCAAAAGAACGCACTGGGCCCCGTAGCTTGCTGTACTGTAGCATGGGTGTCGGAAGACGAGGCACTGGGTTGGGTTATTGATGATGTTTGGAGACCACTTGTGGGAGGTTGCGATGGAGCAGACGCAGACGCTACTTCATCCTTTTGTTTGGTCGCATCTTGGGTCGTCTCTGCAGATGTAGAGACAGCCTTCTCGACATCCCGCGAAGCGACACGAGAGCTCGTCATCTGGACCGAATTGACAAGACCTGGCGGATTAATGACAAGCCACAAGAACCCGACTAATCGGCCGGCCGAACATTCCTGTCGAAAGGACATCATCTCCCAAAACTGCGCAAGAGACTTCACGCTTCGCCAATGACCAGAATTCTCCTTGGAGCCTTTGGCTCCCGTCGACTCTGGCAATTCATCGTCCAAGTCGATTAGAAAGCGCGTCTTGGGGTCATCTGGGAAGCGAGGAACGAGACACCGTGGCGGAGCGTTGGGATTATCACAGAGCTGATGGAGCGGGTAGCTATTTAACCATCTCGGCCGATCCTTGTCATCAGACCTCGCTGTAATTGGGAAGAAGCCCCGAGTCTCGAACTTGTCGCATCCTGGAACAATCAGGAACGCTGTTGCTGAACTCTTCGCCGACTCCTTAGTTTGATCATGCAGTGCCTTGTCATGAGAACCTGTCTCAGGCTCATATTCTCGTAGGATGGGGTCAATGACACGACACCACCATTTGATTAACCCACGATCATCCAAGACATGCTTTTCAGGGTTCTCGATGCTTCCGGGAAACAAGTACTGATTCTGGGCTCGGGCAAACAGCGACACCATCAACCGGACTCCTGGCCGTTGTCGGGTCTGCACAAGAAACGACAGAAACGCATTTGAGATAAGCCTAAGAAGTGAGACCTTGGGCGCATTCTTCAGCAGATGCAGGTAGCCAGTTGAATCGGCCTTGGAGACGAAAATAGTCGTCAGATGCGCGGTGCCGTAGACCAGCACTTCGATCCCAAAGACGATCACTTCCGACTCCTCGTTCTCATCGGGACTAATGGAGACTGCGAGGAAATGATTCTCGCAGAAAGTCCACTCGGGTTCTTCGCCTGGTGGAGCTGCAAAGAGAGCCACACACGGGCTTGGGGCCGATGAGATATGGCGGATCGTCACCTTTACCCCCGTGGGGAGCACCTTGGCCAAGGAATCTCCCAGGTCGACATCAACTTTCGACATTTGAGCCGTCAGAAGCTCTTATTAGGTTGAAGTATTTCAAGAGAAAGAGATAGCCGTGTGTGCTCCCTCCCAGCCTCAGACGCGTTCCAACACACGGGCGCGTCACGTGTCGTTTTCCTTGGACCTCTGGCTGGTAAAGGAAGAATGAATTCTACCAAGGAGGTGGTGTCTCTTAATCACATTATATAAAGTGTCTATTACTACCTTATATGACAAAATTCCAATTAGTGCGCCTTTGGAAGGCTCACTCTATTCATGACACAGCAGTGATCGGTGGGCAAAATGCAATTACGCCAAATGCAGGCAAACGTGCTGGAGTTATTGACACTTGACAGTAAATCTCATCATAATGTTCAAAAATAACTGGCTGCAGCCTCAAGGTCATCGGCATTCAGGAGCGCAACACCCTCCTTAAGCAGAGTTCTCCAGACCGAATTACGGGTCCTGATGGGGTAGCTGGGCGTCTCCCAATATCTGGCTCCAATGCCCCTTTCCTTTGCGGTCGCGATTTGCGAGCGGAGAGTGCTGAGCTGCTTTTCTGTCAATATAGCTTCAGAATCACCCTCCGAGACTGTGCCAACGGCATGCGCAAAGCTTGTAGACGCGATGGGAGAGATCAGGTCTGTGATGCCGGCATTCTCAGGCTCGTTCAAGGACTCGAGGTGAGCATCAAAGAAGTAGTCCCGATTTGCAACAGGCGCAACCATATCATAGGGTGTGTTGCCTGTGCCGATCACGGTAATGGGCCCGTTGGTGATGGTCTTGTTATTCTTCAGAGTTGTCAAATAACCATGTTCACGCAGCGGTTTCAAGGCATCAATCACAGCCTTGAAGGTCTCATGTCCATTGGTCTTTGCATCAATGAACAAGTAAAGCGTCTGGGAGACTGAAGTGTCGAACACGCCACTGACCGAGATCATCAGTTCTGTGTAAGCCAGACGCAATGAAGCTAACTTACTTGTTGGTGGGAGATGTCACAAAACGCGATCGAGGATTCTGGCGTTTGAGAACGTCGAGGATTGGATTAATATACAATGATTCCAGAGTTCTCTCTTCTGTCAGGGAAGACGTGTCATGGCCGACCTGTTCAATGTTAGAAGAAGACATTTATCGCTTGATGACTTTGTACTTACATAGAGCGTACCGTTGTACAGCCAGACATCTGCTTCCGTTGAGATGCATCCTTGTGAAAGAGCTTGAAGGGATCAGTCAAAAGCCATGCTAGAATGCGATGTGATCGAAATGCTGCCTTACCAGTGTAGAAAGGTACATCTCTCCAATAATCACTGACCAGAGAATTAGAGCCATTCTTACAGATTGATCAAATGAGTCTCCAAACTTACTTGTGAGAGTGAACTGGGATCTTATGTCAAAGTAAGTCGCACCCGATTAGCTCAATTTATCCAACAAGTGCATGGATACAACAATCGAGGACTCACAGGTACGATGCCTCTGGTAAAGTCCGTAGGATATCCGTACTCCTGACTTCGATGGGTATTATCGAGGACGTTCTGGAGGCCTGTGGGAAGCCCTGATACCATACCCGGCAATGCCAGGATAACGGCGGAGGCCGTAAAAAGCAGCGAGTGTGGTAGTAAAGTCATTTTTCTTTGCGAGCACCAGGCAAGTATACTTTGTTGGATGAAAGTTCTAAGAAGAGAAACAAACTCTACGAGGCTAGAACGCGATTATATTTCAGAATCGGATGTGATGATCGAGAAGATCCCCCCCAATGCCAAGTTTTGATGCCGAGACAGGGCTTGGGAGCCAATCCCTGTCTCACGTGGAGTACAATCTCACCACAGCCATGTTCATCAGCCAATACAGGTACGATGTGGAAGCACAGGGGTTTTATCCCAAATAAAATGTCAGATAAATTCCCCCTTCCTGGACTTGAGTTGTCCTTCACGCCATCAGATGAAACCAGTTAATTGGCTAACCGTCGTAGAACGGATATGGATTGACCATGGTTGATAACTATACAGCAGCCAGCGTGACTGACAATCTACAAGTCCAAAGCGCCAGACGATCCGAATGTGAAGCTTTGAAAGCCTATGCATCTGAAAATAACATCATATATCCCAAACACTGCCAGATGATTGGGAGAAGAAAATGACAAAAGGGCCCAAATGCTCTATACTTCTCGGACAGATGGTGGCCTTGAGCCACTCTGGGAGTCCTGTGTACTACTGCGCCTGAGACTCAAATTCCCGATGCGCTGCACCAAGTTGCTTCCAACCGCGTCGACTGCGCCTTTCGGAGCGAGCAAACTTGGACCTTGCGCGGCCGCCTCCTGAACCCTGAACAGTTTGATTCCTGTTCCGTTCCACACGCCAACAGTGCCGGGTGTAGCTCCAGATGCTGTGCCAACCACCATCTCACTTGAGAAGATGAAACCCCAAAGCAAAGACTCATACCATCCCAAGGACAGGGCTGACCATTCGAAAGAATGTACCCGTACAGGTGGAGGTTCTGATAACAGCCCTTGAATTGTGGGCTCTTCTGCAAAGGAGGGAAGATTCGCAATTAAAGTGCGAGCTTCCAGGTTTGACGCGGTCTGGAAAGCCGAATCGGGAATGTGAGGAGCAATGGCCGAAATGATAGTGAGAATAGTGTGAAGAGGAAGCTCTGGTAGCCATGACTCCAACTAAACGCGTGATTATTAGAACGATTAGACATAAAATACACGCACACCATCGAGTAGATACTTACCCAAGCAACAGTCGGTGTAAAACCGCTGGAAGTGGAGAACAGGGCGGACATGCTACTTTGACTGGTGATGCTGTTCTGCCGGGAGAAAGATGGCTGTCCAGCAGGCATCTTACCTCTGGCCTTCTCAGACATTCCCCGCAATTGTAGAGGGACGCTTTCATCTATAGCTGATGATGTTGACGGCCGTCTTGAGTTCTGCGCGGAGGGTGAAGACTGCGACGGCGTGTCTTGCCCGTCATGTTGGTCATCCGATTCGTCACCGCCAATAGCGAAGGGGCTATTCTCTTCAGGAATACGAGTCAAAGGCGAGCGTGTTCCTGACGACACATGAGGATCCTCTTCAGCCTGCGACAGGGTAGGGCTAGACGACGAGTCGCGAGATGCAGCCTTAGCTTTTCTCCTTTCATTTTGGCGTTCAATCTCTTGCTGGCCACTTTCGAGAGTGAAGGCTCGGACAGCTTCGAAACGTTTCCTGTACTTTAGAATGGCATATACTAGGAACGGGTTTTCTGCGACAGTCAGTCAGCGAGCCAAGCCGCTACGAAAGTGAAGGCATAGCGACACTTACTGGTGAATTGGTGATCAAGTATCGAGTTTATCGATTCAAGCACTGAGGCTAGGAGGGCATGGTTCGTTTCGTTAGCTAGGAGGAAACTGGGAGCGGACATCGAGGAGAAGAGCTGCAGAAGTCTGGAGCATGTGGCGGGTGAAAGATGCTCCAAGTAAGGAGCCACGTTGTTGATGATCGCTAAAAGCGCAGGATAGACAGCGTTCAGCTTGCCTTTGCTTGCGGTAAGCAGAGTATGGATGGACTAAGACACGTTCAGTACGGTCTCGCATGATGAATTCGGCGAAAGACAAACCATAACCAGGTAATCACCATAGGTACCCCTGAAGCCCGGAATACGGATGTTCTGAGGTAACGTCTCCTGAGCCTCAAATTTCATGTTGAGACTTTTCCCGAAATTCGGTTCAACACTCATTGTTTGTAAAATAAAGATGCACATTCTCACAACGCCTTGCTTGGATGCGTCGGTTTTGTACTCGATAGCGTAAAAGATACAGAGAATGGCAAAGTCATGGGAGCGACTTGAGTCAATGATAAATGACCTGAATCGCTTGTTGCACTGAAGGGCCTCCCAGAACAAGATGAGCATTTCCGGAGCCCATTTGATAGATTTCTGGCTGCCTGGAAGGTAAGAGTTCGTAACCTGCATCTGCCACTTCATCAGAACTAAGCACAGCCGACTGAAGAATGCAGACCCACATGTTGGTTCAAGATTCTGGTCATGCCATCGACAAGGAATTGAAAGTCTTGCGGTCGGTGCAGCCGACCAAAGTAATGGCGATAATAGTTCTTCGGCGGTGTCCCACGACCGTCCTCTGGGATAGGATATAGTAGGAGAACAAGGAGAAATTGTAGACAGTATATAACCAAGATCTGCTTGGAATCTTTCCAGACCACATGGTCATATGGAACCCTCCATGACGCAGGGTTGTACTTGATAGACTGCGTGAAACCGTGGTTAGTATGAGGCAATAGTCAGAATCATTCAGCACTGTACATACAGTATTTAGCAATGAGCATAGCAATGTGAGGACCACCTGCTTGTCAGGGCAGGTCGCAATGTAGGTAATGGCCTTAACACCCTGAACGGGTAGGAGACCTGCAGCGTCGTCAGCGTTGCGTCCCATATCGAGGACAAAGCACCTTACTCAGAGGCATGTACATCGCCTTTCCAGTCAAGGTAAGCAATAGTCGCAAAATCTCGCACCGGTTGCTTTCGAGCTCTTTGCTGGAGCCCATGGAAGTATTGCAGCCGACACCGCTTTGCCATATCGAGTATGATACCTTACCCTTAGCCGTTGAGAGCTTTGGGATCGTAAAGTCCGTGTAAAATAAAAGATCCAGCAGGTTGTCAATCAATTCCTCGGCCAAGGGCTTCACATCTTCGTAGTCATTAGTCCCGGGCAACGTCTCCTCCCGGCGTCCTTCAGCCTGCGCTTCGTCAAATAGGACTTCTGCTCCCGGTTGAGCTCCTCTAGTATTCTTCTTGCGTCGACCCCAAAAGAATTTCTCCTCCCATTCTTCTAGGTGCTCAGCCTCGTAGATGAAGGGAAGGATGCGCGTGAGTATGCGGATACAGTTGAGAACGTCTCTCTCGGGAGCGAGGTCGGGATCTGGAAAAGACGGATGATTCTTCAGAAAGGTAAGACGAGAGGTTATTGAAAGCAATAGTGTCTCCAAATTAGGTAATGCATGGTCGCGCGTCCGTCGTATATCTGCGGGAGTGAATAAGCTGAATACATCTTCTGTCGACTCTGGGAGCTCCCAGAACTACATCGAAGCAGTTAGCGAGTAGATGGCGATGAGAGATCAGATGAGATCTTATGACAAGGGAGACAAACTCTGGACCAGTAAGGATCATCAGCAGGAATGTCCTTCTCCTCTGACAGACGGAAGATTCCCTGCTTGAAGACCAACTTCGACTCCGAGGCTCCCATAGCGAAGCGACACCGGCGTGGGTTGATGGTATTATAACTTCATAGGGTGTTCAGGGAAAAGAAGAAGAATCAATATACAGAATCCAAGCGCTTTCACGGAGGTCCTTTTGATTTATATCGCTAAATGGAAGTGCCAAGTGGGCAAGCTGATTGTATGTTGGGTGTTGTGGTTCGCTGGTCCCGTCACGGCGGGAAGTTACCTCTTGGACCAACGGAGACGGAGCTCGGCCATGATGGGAGTTTGAGCAAAGAGCCACAATTAAGAGTTAAATCAATCTGCCGACCACGCTACCTGAGTTTATTATATGTTTTGTTGAAAGAACTAAGCAATTTTAAGTACTGTTAATCCCTATGCAATTTGTGAAATTAACGCTCAATCTAATAAGCTCAATGTACACGATCACTTCCATTCGTAATTGCGCCGACGCCAATCAGCCCGAATTATAGACTCCCGTTACTAGCAGAGAGCCGCCTACTTCTTTCATACAACCACTTGTTGCTCAATCCCAGGTTCGCGCGCTTGCCCCCTACAGGCGAAGGACTCGCTGGCCCTATGCTAGACTCCCCGAAAAGCGAACTGCGACTGAATGTCGAAGAAGACCCGAAGCTTGGCCGTCGCCCGCTCTCCTTGCCTCCGTTCGAAACGGCTTTGTACAGTAGCGGACTAGTCGATGGCGAAAATGATGCGCCCGATGAAAGTCTACGCCCTGAAAGACCGGCACTACCGGATAGGGGCGACGATGCACCTTTGCTCGCTGGAGTCGGTGTTCTCGAGGCAGACAGTCGATACCTCGGTGGTGTAATGTACGTAGTCCCCGGCGTAAGCGGTGGAGTCGCGGACGGATCAAGTCCGAGGAGGGAACGTTGTGTAGGAGTGAGAGGGATATCGGAGAGGTCATCTTTCGGTCGGAACAAAGGGTATAATGCAATCAGGATGTTCAACGCAAGAATGAGCTGTACAACGTGCAGCGCAAGGTCTGGATAAGCGGGGTACTGGCCCAAGTTCTGTAGGCGAATCGAACTGCGGGATCATGGTCAGAAAGATCGAATTGCAATTATCCTCGAACCAACATGGCTATCGCTCACTATGATTTAACCGTGTTTCCGAATACCCAGGTCGCAACCAAGGCAGCACCGTTCCAAATAAGCTTTCGAATATTGCGATCTCCGAATGTTCCAGCATTCTGTCGCCTTACAACTTCATTGAGACGAGGATGGCGCCATTTTCCAGGCGTCCGTGACGCATCGGGGACAGGGGCGAGCACCGATACAGCTCTGGGTGTAGATGGAGCAGATTGGGACGCCATTGATATTTGCCAGAAAAGAAATAGAAAGGCCGCTAGCTGAAGTCAGAAAAGACGAAATATACTCGCCAGGAGTACTACGAGGGGCTCACCTTGAAGAAAAAGAGATCAGAGTGTGTGTGTTAAAACTTACCTTTGAATCAACCCGACGAGGTGGACTTGATTCATGAGTACATTTGCGTGTGGTCGTGCAGGCGTCTCAATGGTCGACCTGAACCATCACTGCCAATATGGCAACAGCTGTTTGCGGGTTAAGATGTGCTGGTCGGAAGTGTGAGTATTGTGTTGACGCGACCCTCAAGAAGAATAGCAAGAATGGCCGCTTAGTAGTCACAGGCAACAGACGCCGCTGCCGCGAAGTTTTCAGCCAACCTCCGTAGCTAGACGCGGCTCTCGGTCCGTTCCCCACAACTCCGTAAGCATAAGCTGAACCCCCTCACGTCATTTCGTTCATCCATCTCCGAATGGCACTACGACGTCTCGAAACCAATCTCTAAGTAACTTTGTAGCTCTTGGTTCGATAGACCAGTCTCCGAATTCAAGGACTTCGCACAATGGCCTCAGAATCGTCAGCCTTGGCGAGACTGGATGCCTTGGCCTCTGATATTCTGGCTGACTGGAATATTTACACAACTTTGATCGCAGGCGCTCTTATTGCTTTCACCGTATACTCTTTTGTTACGTCGAAAGATGCCGACATTCATCCTTTCTTACTTGCTCGTCAGTCGACAGCTTTCCCCGTACGCCAACCCGCAGAATCAGCGGCGTATAGAAGCCTAGAGACTCCGCACGGATACCCACTCAGATCGGGACTCAACATCAAGGACCCTGGTGCACCAAGATGGACGGGTGGCAGAAGAGGTGACCTCCGCGATATCTGGAAGGCTGCTGTGCGTGGTGCAGTGTCAGAGAATGGTGTAGTCTCTGGGAAACAAGGAAAGATCTATACGGTGCTTGGAAAGAAAGCCGTCGAGCATTCTTTGGACCAAGTCACACAGGAAATCAATGTCATCGGCCATCGTCTGCAGGAATCTGGCGTCAAATCGGTTGCTGTGTGTTTGACAGATTCGGTTGAGCTCCTGGCTGCCATTTTCGGTTCGGGCCCTTCGCTTCTTATTCCGACTACGTATCGCGCTGACTTGATGATACCTAGCTGGTGCCTTCTATGGCTTCAAGACTATTACTATCCCTCACAACCTCGAGCCTCAAGTCCTCTCCGCTTACCTAGAAAAGTCGCAGGCAGATGCTTTAATTGCCGAGGCCGGTGCCCTGGACTTGTCCCTGGTGGCTAAGAACAACAAGCAACTCTCTCAGGTCATTTGGGTCGCTAAGATTGGAAGCCAGCACATGGACTGGAATCAAGTGCCTGGAGATGTTCGAGGAAGCTTGGAGGTAGCCGTATGGCATGAGTTGGTTGAGGAAAAGAAGGACCTGACCGGTTTGGACGTTCCCAGCTGGGACCCCAACTCTCCTACGCCCTCTGTGACCACTGTATGGCCGACCAAGTCTCAAGTGGGCGATTTCATTGAATTCCAGCCAGAGGTTAGTTTTCTCGACTGAGCTTTTCCCTTGCAATCACCGCTAACTCCAATCAGAATCTTGCAGCCGGAATCGCGGGATTGACCTTCTCCTTGCCTCGGAATCAGAGGTTCAACCCCGACGACCTGGTCCTTTCGATCGATTCTCTCTCGCGTTCATACCCACTGTGCCAAATCATGAGTGCACTTTTCTCAAATTCTTCTATCGCTCTCAACTCTGTTGCTGGCGAGGGCGTTGATTTTGCCTTGGCTACTGTTGGAGTGTCGCCTACCGTCATTGTTGCTTCTTCCCGCACCATGTCCGAGTATCATGCCAGGCACATGGAACCCCAAGCCAGCGTCCTGACGTCGATCGTCCGCTGGTCTCAGCTGCGCAAACTAGATGCCGGAATCATGCCTTCTCGTGGCCTACTAAATCAGGTTGCTAGTATCGCACCCACCGCTGAACTCTCCCTCGAGAGGCTCCGCCTGTTGTGCGTCTCCCATCGGGCTGATGCCGACCCGGCTGCGCGCCTGACATCAGCGCAATTGGCAGACCTTAAAATCTTCCTAGGTGCTCGTGTTGTGTACGCTCTGACTGGCGCGGGTGTGGCAGGTGCTGTGTCCCAGACCAACGTCTTTGATTACCGACGCTTCACGGGACCGAGCCATTTTGGCGCCCCCTTGAGCTCTGTTGAGCTTCTTTTGACTGGCGTGTCCGATGAAAACCCACTCGAAGGACAGGTGGGTGCCATACTTTCTTTGTTTTCTCTTTCTTTCCTTTTCATTATTTTATTCCATTCACTGACTGCTCCCGAATAGATTACTGTTTCTGGCCCCGCTGTTGTCTCCGGTAAAACCAATCTTTCGTCGCGGGGCCGCATACGAGAGGACAACACCTTGGAGCTTTCTCTTTGAAACTATCCGTATCTCGAGTTATGACGTTGACAGTGCATGTATTTCGAGCGCGCCCTTTTTCTTTTTTCCCATAGGCTACTGAGCCACTCGCGGTATACAAGTTGCATCGCTAGTCCTTTGATTTCTCGCGGTGAGCGCCGCCAATCCACAAGATAGGAGGAACGGCAAATACAATATTGGAACAAATTCTAAGGTGGTAATATACATATCATGAAGAAGTCAGTGGTGATGCAACAGTCAAGGCTAATGCAGGAGCTGGCTTTGTTGGTAGCCCAGAGTCGGCTTTTGCTGGACATTCTCGGGGGCCATTTCCTTATGGTTGGCAATCAATAGACGCAAGTGGTTCAGGCGTCTCTTCAGAGGACCAGACACAGCTTTGTCATTTGCGACGCCCTTAACCTGAAGGGCGAGCGTAATTCCGTTGTAGATAGGCACGTTCTCCTGGAGCATGCGATCGACTGTAAACCAGTCCGTGGCATCGCGGAAAAAGTTGCCTGCCTCCCAGTTCGCCATGAGGCGCTGAGCATAGGCATACACATCGCCGGACTCATCCTTGCCTCCCAGTTCGTTCACAGCACGAGCAGCGCTAAGCTCAAGAAGAGTACCAATGACAAATGGTTGTCGTTTGGGATCTTCTTTTATGTCCTGGACATTCCTCCGGGAATGCTCCGGAGCTTCCATCAACGCGGCAAACTGCTTAGCCATGCCAAGCGCCTTGGAGACTGCAGGATCCTTGAACTGCCCCTTCTGAGCTTTCTTGTGGAGCTCGAAGAAGACACGCTGGACGATTCCGTTGTTGTCCAATCGAAGACCGGTCCGTTCCGTCTGCTTCGCACATTCGAGGATGGCACCGAGTGCGTCGGCTTCACCAGCTTTGCGCACAGTCCACTCCCAGTTCGCGAGGCTCAATGGTCTCTTCGACGTCTGTAGCCCGCCAAGGAAAGGTGCAAGGTTCTGCCAGTCTTTCCTGGTCTTCATGAGCAAGACAACGTCCTTGAATTCTTTCTTTGGTGGTCTGGACAGCGGATCCATGGGCCGAAGTTGGTAAGGCTCATCGTTGTCGCCAATATTTACCGTCACTGGTTGCTGCTCAAGTTTCTCCGCATATTTCCGTCGAAACATTAACCTTCTTTGCTCGGTATTCAAGCCAAAAGGTATAAAAAGCTCTTCTCGGAAACGTTTGAGGGCCTGGTCTAGTTCGGGGGAAGATGTCGGAGGGAAGGTGGGAATTGCTAATTGCAAATCATGTCAGTCCTTTTGCCGTGGGAGGTTGTCTGCTCTTGTATTCAAACCAATGCTTACCATTATGCGAATATGTACGATATTGTGTAATAGATCCAATGGATTGACGCAGGTAGCTGCTGTTCTGGCAGCGGAAGAGCCTGCCAACGGCGCTTTGCGCCATTTTATATCTGCTCTGGAGCAAAATTGAGAATAGTGCGCTTTTATAAAAATGGCAAACCAAGGTGCTGGACGACCGAACAGGATCCAGAATCGATTCGAGAGCTGTGATGAGTTTATTTTCTGGACAAAATTCCCCGGGATATCGAACTCTTGGTGAGACCCGAACAGGCAATTTGAGGCTTGGCGGAACTTCTGCCGGACCGGATCAACCTCCGCCTGCGAGAATTGCGGTCTTTACAAGATTCTATCACAATCGCGGAGCTGACCACCACGCTCAACTTCTACACTGATGGCGACCTTTTCGCCCGTATTGCGGCAGCTGGGCTGCTTGAGGTCTTTTATGAAGGCAGACAGATTGCTGCGACCCCAGTTCAGCCGTTCCATCAGCACCGCATATTCCCCGAAGCCAGAGCCTGCACCTCTCCCTTCGAAACTCCCAAAGTTGTTCCTTTCACAAATACCTACTCGGTTGCAACCCAATGCTGGTAATTGAGCCAATGCTCTAGTTTTTCACCGTTTTTGCTATGTCTAATATCTAAGATAGGACGCAAGAAGCTCAAAATCTACCCACCACCCCCGACACCGCGTGCAAATTGCAAAGACCCCGTCGCAGCATTGACAGAGTCTCAACTAGCCGCTCTCGACCCCACAGGCGAGCGTAGGGCTCTGTTTGACTACCGCCGAAACCCCCGAAGCGTGAAAGTGGGCGACATTCTGCGTGTGACATTCAAGAACGGAGACCCATTCTCAGGCGTGTGTCTCAGCATCCGTTTGCGGGGCATTGATACTTCTTTCCTTCTCCGAAATGAGCTCACCAGAGTTGGCGTGGAGATGGCCGTGAAGGTCTTCAGTCCAAACGTCGAGAGTGTGGAAATTGTACAGAGGACGGAGAAGAGGAAGAGAAGAGCAAGATTGTACTACATGAGGTATGTACCATCATCCGATGATGTGCACTACCAAGGAGAATGTTCCTCTTGTGCAGTGAAGCTAATAATTTCCTCTCTCGAATATACAGGAAGCCCAGGCACGATATGGGAAGCGTCGAGAACATCGTGTCCAACTACCTGCGGCAGAAGTCCGTTCTTACTGGTCAGCGTTCAGCCGGTGCACGGAGACAGAGACGGTGAATTGCAGCAATCCCTATTCTGTCTGTATTATGACTTTGGCGAAATGTATTATACTACTACACTTGCACATGGATATTCGGGAATCGACATTTGTTGGCGCACACATTGAGACTGGAATAAAGACCGTTTCCCGCCAGCATTTACTGCTTTGGCAATGGAAACTGTCGTCTGGGATTACATCGACCTCTGGACAATCCCGCATAGTCCTACAATAAGCGAGGTATCATGATCGGTGATCGGTACTCTATTTCCCCGTTCCCGCGAGCTTGAACCTCAGCAATGTCTCTGAAAAAGGAGCTGCCGACCCTACCGCCCTACCTGATTCATGAAAGACGATGCTACCTGGATAAGTGGACAGGCGCAATAATCTTGCAATTGTAGCCATGTAGATAAAAGATCCATAGTGACTATGCTAGGTCGCATGAGGACAGCAGACAGCAGAAGAATTTTGTCCTACGGAAATTCTGGAAGTCGTGGCTTCGCTTATAAGGTGGCTGAACGTTGTATCGGGGAATTTCCCTCAGACGGTTTCTGGGCACCAACCAAATCTGCCTTGGTTGGCGCGATCTGATATGGTACATTGGCATCCAGTCCAATGACAGCTCTTCAGTGAACCGATCGCAGGTGCCTAGCCAGGGGGCAGTGCTGTGCACATAGATTGCCATGCCAGGAAATCCAAGAAACACCGGTCTCAGGGTCTTGCGCCGAGGTCGCTTAGACATCATCAGCATGGTCGTCTTGCGCTAATCGCAAGACGTTTCAATAATAATCGCGATGACTTCGGGGCTCATCAATTTCCAACTTAACGCTTACTCTTGCTTCTCATGAGATCGAGGATGAGCTCCGGAGTCAAGTGACATTGCTCTTTATCGAACCGCAGGCAACCATGTTGAATCTCTTTCTTAGGCAGATTTGGACGCTGACAGTCAAGAATCTGCTCGTTGTCTTTGTCCGCCCATCATTCACAACAACCCTCAGGGCTCTGGTCTTGCCAGTGATTTTCGTTGCTTTCATGTAGATTACCTGTGTCGCCTGTTGTTTGATGAATGGCCGTCACTAATTGAAGTAGATCCTACGCAAAGAACCTTTTCATCCCTCCATCAGAGTATGGCGTCGGCAGTCCTACTCCCCTCCGTTCGCTAGGAGCAGCGCTAGGTGCCGTCTCAGGGAGTAGAGACAAGTTGGTATTCGTCCACAATGGACTGACTGGTGGCGATGTTGAGCAAGTCATCAACCGAGTTGCAGATCCTGCAAGGGCCAGCGCAAAACAAGTACATATTCTTTCATCGGAGGATGAGCTACGAGAATTGTGTCGAACATCGCTTCGTGGAGTGTCATCATGCATAGCTGCGGCTATCTTTTACTCTTCTCCCAGTGAAGGACCAAACGGATACTGGAATTACTCAATTCGTACGGATGGTTCGCTAGGTGTTGGTATCAAAGTCAACCGAAACGACAATGATCAAGAAATCTACCTCCTTCCGTTCCAGCATTCGATTGACTGGGCGATAGCGCAGGTCAACTCGACCAACAACGGTAACGCGCTACCGAGTCACGTACGCTTAATGCACGTAGTGCTTCTGGCCTGCTCGACTAATCCTGGTATAGGTTGAGGAATACCCGTTCACGTCCCTTACCCAAGAGGAACGACAAGAACAAATCCGAACCCGCTACATGGGCGCCATTATTGACATCATCGCCGTGGCTATCTTCATTGAGATTGTGGGTGTCACGTACCAGCTTACTGGGCTTATAGCGATGGAACGAGAGCTCGGGATGAGCCAGCTGATTGATTGCATGTTGCCCAACACCTCCCACTGGCAATCGCAAGCTGCTCGGTTCATTGCGGCACACCTGGCTTTGGATATCGTGTACTGCCCCGCATGGATTATCTCCGGTGCGATCCTGAAATTCGGGGTGTACGGCAAGACCTCGGCTGGAATCGTCATAATCTACAATATCCTGGCCGGTCTCGCATTGTCCTCCTTTTCCATATTTGGCGCCTCGTTTTTCAGGAAGGCCCAGCTCAGCGGTATCAGTGTCGTTATCGTTTGCTTGATTTTGGGAGTAATCGCGCAACTGGCACCTGCTTCGACAAACGGTGCAGTTATCATCCTCAGTCTTCTATTCCCACCGATGAACTTTGTTTACTTCTTTGTTCTCATGGCTCGATGGGAGAGACAGGGTCTTGCTACGGACCTCGTGCGCGCAGCTCCAGAGAATCCGTGGACAGTTCCTGGTATAGCCCTCTGGATTTTACTGATTGTTCAAATCGTCGTCTATCCTCTACTGGCCGCCGTTGTCGAGCGAGTTCTTTATGGCACCAAGTCCAAGAGCCGAAGGACAGTGAACTCTGGCGACTCGATCGCTGTGCGTTTAAATGGATTTACCAAGGAATATCAACCGAGTTGGTTCTACCGAAAGGTAGCCCCATGGTTTGGAAGTAGCCGACAGAGTGTACTGGCCGTGAACGACCTTTCCATGGACGTCAGAAAAGGTGAAATTGTGGTCGTCCTCGGTGCAAACGGCTCGGGCAAATCTACCACACTGGATGCCATCTCGGGTCTGACGACAATCACCTCCGGGAGTATCGATGTAGACTACGGCGACTCCGGCGAACGGTTTGGTCTCTGCCCACAGAAGAACGTTCTCTGGGATACGCTTACAGTGAAAGAGCATATCAAGATATTTAACAGGCTGAAGAGCACCGGGGAAGTAGACAGTAATGAGCAGCTTCTGAAATTGCTAAACGACTGTGACCTGGCTCAGAAGGTGAACTCGCACTCGAAGACGCTCTCTGGGGGCAGAAGCGAAAGGTTCAATTGGCCATCATGCTTACCGGCGGCTCGTCGATCTGCGCTGTTGACGAGGTTTCATCTGGAATTGATCCAATTGCACGCGCCAAAATATGGGACATCCTTCTTGCAGAGAGGGGGTCGCGGACAATCCTTTTGACTACTCATTTTCTGGATGAGGCAGACCTCCTCGCCGATCACATCACAATCCTATCCAAGGGTTCGCTCAAGGCGCAGGGCTCGAGTGTTGAGCTAAAGGATAGATTGGGTTCAGGTTACCGAGTTCATGTGCTCAATGTCCCTGGCTCAGAGAAGGTACCTGGTCCACAGTTCGACAGCCTCGGAAAAGAGGTCCACTTTGATGACACTGTCTACTCCGCGACGGATTCCGCAGAAGCTTCTCGTCTGATGTCAATGCTGGAAGAAAAGGGTGTCACAGAATATCGCGTCAGCGGGCCGACGATTGAGGATGTTTTTCTCAAAGTTGCAGAAGAGTTGGACAGACTACGAGAAGAGCCTCACGTCGGATCGAAGGAAACGACTTACACTGAAAAGAATCCTGGCAGTGGTGGCAGTGAAGGGCTTCAGCTATTGACCGGAAAACGCATTGGCATGTTCCTTCAGTCGTGGTATTTGTTTCGCAAGAGGGTCACAATATTGCGCCGCAACCCTATCCCATACCTAGCAGCTTTGCTCATCCCAGTCGTTGCGGCCGGACTTGTTACTCTTTTCCTGAAGGGTGCCTCAAAGGCAGGTTGTTCGGGTGATAGTACATACCATGCATCTGGCTTCGAGTCACTGGCGTCTCTGGACAACTTCAAATTTGTGGTTGGTCCTCGAGACAAGCTGTCTATCTCCGCTCTTGAGAGCTTCATTGGCTCCCTGTCTGGTTCGATAGGCTCGACTCAGAATGCGTCCTTGAACCTCGAGTCTCGATTTCACCTGGTAAACAGTCTCACGGAGTTTGAAGATTATATATCTCAAAACTATGCCAATATAACACCTGGTGGTTTCTACCTGGGAGAGGCAAATTCTGCGCCTACATTCGCGTGGAAGGGAGACAACGGTCACTTCCCGCTATCCGCTGTCACCCAGAATGCCATGGATAACTTCTTGACCAACGTGCCCATCTCTTTCCACTTCCAGTTTTACGACATTCCATGGCAGTCAGATTCTGGGAAGGCACTTCAGCTGATCGTCTATTTTGGTCTTGCTATGTCGGTATACCCTGCTTTGTTTGCTCTCTATCCCACCGTTGAGCGTCTGAAGAATGTCCGAGCGCTGCATTTCAGCAACGGGGTGAGAGGCGCCTCGCTTTGGCTAGCATACCTGGCTTTCGACTTCTGCATTGTCATCGCATCCAGCGTCCTTGCAATAGTCATCTTCAGGGCCGCGTCGGATGTATGGTACCATGCCGAATATCTCTTCGTCGTTTTCTTCCTCTACGGGTTGTGCACAACGATACTATCATATGTGGTATCCCTCTTCTCAAAGTCTCAGCTCGCAGCTTTCGCAATTGCAGCCGGTGGACAGTGCGTCTTGTTCTTGATTTACTTCATCGCCTACATGTCAGTATTGACATACGCACCTACCCAGAAAGTCGATGAGTACCTTGAGATAACACATTTTACCATCGGTCTCATTGCGCCATCGGGAAATCTTCTCCGAGCAATGTTCACTTCGCTGAATACGTTCTCCATCCTATGCCGAGGACGAGAAATTGCCTCGTATCCGGGTGAGATCACTCTCTACGGAGGCCCAATCCTCTATCTGATCTGCCAATCCTTTGTCCTGTTTGGATTGCTTCTTTGGATTGATGGAGGGCCTGTGTTCTCCATGATGAGGAGGAGAGCCAAGCAGAACCACGTGGAAGAGAAGGATACTGTCGATGGTGATGTTGCTGCTGAATTAGCACGAGTGGAAAACTCAACCGACGGATTACGAGTTCTGCACCTCACGAAGAAGTTCAAGAAGTCTGTCGCAGTGGATGACGTGACATTCGGGGTGCCAAGATCTCAAGTTTTTGCTCTCTTAGGGCCGAATGGAGCAGGAAAAACCACCACAATCTCTCTCATCCGCGGTGATATGGTACCTTCCGACAATGGAGGAAATATTTTTGTAAACGATATTTCAGTTTTGAAGAACCGTGCAGGAGCACGCTCCCACCTTGGGGTCTGTCCACAGTTTGATGCAATGGATCAAATGACCGTCATTGAACACTTGGAGTTCTATGCTCGCATCCGTGGTGTGACCGATGTGAAGCACAACGTCACGGAAGTAATGCGTGCTGTGGGTCTTACTCCCTTCCAGCACCGCATGGCAACACAACTGTCAGGAGGTAATAAGCGCAAGCTTTCTCTCGGCATTGCTTTGATGGGCAACCCTCTCGTCCTGCTGCTGGATGAACCTAGCTCGGGAATGGATGCGGCCTCAAAGCGTGTGATGTGGAAGACATTGGCATCTGTAGTCCCTGGACGCTCCATTGTGCTGACGACCCACTCCATGGAGGAGGCAGACGCACTGGCAACTCGGGCAGGAATCATGGCCAAGCGTATGCTGGCGCTGGGGACAACTGATTACCTGCGGAAGAAGTACGGCAATAAATATCATGTCCATCTAGTCCATTCAGAGGCACCGCACACTACGGACGAAACTATGGAACGCATCCGCGATTGGGTGCAAGAGAACTTCCCAGGTGCGGTGATAGAGCAGAAGACCTATCATGGGCAGATAAGGTTCAGTATCCCTGCAACAGCGGCATCTTCATCTTCGAAGACGGAAATCACTGAATATGCCGAGGGTCCTATCGCCGAAGAAGAAGAGCTCGGACCCGGACCCAGATATCAATCATGGCCCATGGTTCCAGGGGGCCCACGAGCTGCCAGCAACAGCATCGTCAGCTCCATATTCGCGAAGCTGGAGCAGAGCAAGACTCTTCTAGGCGTCCAGTATTACTCTGTCAGCCAAACTACATTGGACCAGGTCTTCCTTGCCATTGTTGGACAGCATAATATCCGGGAGGAGAATGCTGGATAGGCCCCAACCTTGTATTAGCTTTATTGGCCGATTGAACTTTCATTGGTCGTCTTTCATTTCACGTTGTTTCTGATACCAACCATGCACCTCTCTCACTCTCTCCTGTGATCAATTGATTTTCCTAGAATATTTCTGTACATATGAACACTGAACTACTGGGATATAGAAGCATTTGGCCAGTCTGTATAAAGTACGGAGCGCATCTTTTCCTTCTTCTGCTATCTATGTCTCAATATCACAATCTACTATTCTAAGACCCCACGCTGGTGGTACCCCGGGGCCTCAGGCCATCCCCCGCCTCCCGCTGCTGATCGTTTTTCTCCACATCCCCAGAAGCTTCGTCCCTTCATCAACTCGGCAGTTCTAAAATCATCGACCTCGTATTATTATTGACGCACGTATCAAAATCGGCAGAACCTGAATGAAAGAGTCATGACTGACGCATCGGCTACGAATCTGGACGATTTCCACCTATCATCTGCCAGACGAGAATGACACGCCTTATTCTCGGTCTTACCCCGACTGCTCGATTACTCCGCATCGGGAATGTCACCCTGCCCATCACCGCGAATCTCAACCTTGACCAATGAACCGGCCAACCAACGAGTTATTTGCGCTGGTGCTGGCATTCTTCCCGAAGGTCTCTGAATCGCTCAATGGTCGACACCGCTGTATGACGATGTCGACCCCCACGTCGTACTACTGGTTTCTAGCTTTCAACCCCGCAAAATGTGCCGGAATCAAGGCCGAAGCTGTGAGCTCCAACCTGGGGTAGGGTACAATGTTTGGCTCGTTCGGGGTGGGGTGGCGATGCTTCGGCGTTGATACTTCCTTATATGGAATCTACGCTGGGGACGATTATCCAACGCCTCTTGTGGTATGATATGAGAACCCGGGCAATGAGCTGTCCGCTTTGGCTTTTGGGGTCTATCCAAGCTACTGCCATTCAAATACCGACTAGATTCAGTTTCCCCAGAAATAGGTTCTGAGACCTCTACGTTTTCAGCTGCTCATCGATACCACCGTTGACTTTCAAGGAAGAAGCAACGAGAAGGCAATATGGGTGACAGAACTACCGAGCCACAACATGGCTCCAAATTGCATTCTGCAGAGACACCTACCATTATACACAGCGAAAATACTCAGCTTGAACCAGGATGGAAGACGGCGAAGCAAATAGATGGCGACACAGCCATGGCTTTGTTTAACGATCCAGACGAGCTTCATGAAGAGGTAGATCCAGCCGAGGCGAGAAGAGTATTGTGGAAGATCGACATGATGATTCTTCCGTACCTTGCTGTCTGCTATGCATTTTTCTACATTGATAAGGTAGGTTGGCGTCAAAGTAAATCTTCACTTGACTATACTGATGTTCGATTCCGATACTCAGACAACACTGAGCTATGCAGCTATCTTCGGAATCGTGGATGACCTCAAGCTTCATGGAACGCAGTATAGCTGGCTCAGCAGTATATTCTACTTTGGTTTCCTGGCCTGGGCTTTCCCTACCAACTTTCTCCTGCAGCGTCTGCCAATCGGTATGTGTCCCATACAGACATGTCGGAGGATAGGATTGTAACCATTTTCGTGTGTGACAGGGAAGTACCTGGGCGCCAATATCTTCATGTGGTACGTACAGCAAACACACCGGGCAATTCCTGTCCTTTCTTCCCAAAACCCATTGTACTTACGCATACTAGGGGAGTCTTCCTCATGATCCAGGCCGCATGCCATAACTTCACCACGCTAGCTGTTCTTCGAGCGTTAGGAGGCGCCGCTGAAGCCTGTGCCGACCCTGCCTTTATGTTGATTACCAGCATGTTTTACACAAGAAGAGAGCAGCCTGTCCGAATTGGCCTGTGGTATACTGCAAATGGCTTTGGTATTGCACTTGGTGGGCTGTTGGGTTACGGGATTGGGCATCTCAAGGGTGCGCTTCCTTCTTGGAAGTACGAATTCCTCGTCATGTAAGTCCAAGGTACTAGAATCTAGCAGCATGTAACTTGCTGACTGAGATGTAGCGGCGCCCTTTGCTCTGCCTGGGGCATAGTCATGTTCATCTTCCTCCCGGATTCGCCCGTCTCTGCACCAGGTCTTACTCCCAGGGAACGACGAGTTGCCGTTGAACGGTTGAGAGAGAACCAGACAGGTGTTGAGAACAAGCATCTCAAGCCATATCAGGTCCTAGAGGCGTTCATGGACTACAAGCTTTACATTTTCTTTATGCTAGGCTGTGTCTGTGAGTATTACTGTATCCTCTGGTCACACAGTTCAGCGCTAATTTGCACAGGCAACATCCCCAATGGCGGTATCTCAAACTTCGGCACCTTGATCATCAAGGGCTTCGGATTTTCAACACTAGTCACCACCCTGATGCAGGTATGGCTGTCCTCGAATTTTGCCCACATTCACCGAATGTTAATAACACCGTTCTAATACAGATTCCCTACGGTGTCCTCATCGCACTCTCCATCCTTCTCTGCGTCTACCTCAACGACCGCTTCGAGAACCGCCGCTGCGTCTTCATCCTGTTATTCCTACTCCCCAATATTGCCGGCGCCTTTGGCCTGCGCTTTGTCCCGCTAGACCAGAAAGTCGGCCGCCTGATCTGCTACTACCTCACGGGTCCGTACAACGCAGCCTTTGTCTTGATTCTGAGCATGCAGATCGCGAATACTGCAGGTACTGTCCCGTTCCCTCTTCTGATCTTCCTCGGAAGCTGTGATGGTCTAATCGGATGATGCAGGACATACGAAAAAGGTCGTCACGAACGCAGTTCTCTTCCTGGGCTACTGTACGGGGAACATTGCGGGTCCATTCTTCTACAAGACGGATCAGAAGTACGTTGCCTTCTCATTTTCCGTTATCATCATTGATCAATTGCATCCTGACTTTGTCACAGACCAACCTACCCCCTCGGCATCTGGTCTATGATCGTCTCGCATCTGATCGAGGTTGTTCTCATCTCCGCTCTTGGCCTTCTTCTCCGGTGGGAGAACAAGAAGCGGGATCGGATCCAGTCGCAGATGCACGGTGGCCTTGAGGGACGAGATTTGGATTCGACCGCGTTTTTGGATTTGACGGATCGAGAGAATCTCAAGTATGTTTTTCATCCTTGACTATATTTATGGTCTGGCTAATTTGTATTTCCTGCAGCTTCCGCTATATATACTGAGTCAAGAGGCTCGACGAAGGATCTATTCTGGATCTAGGAACATGAATGCAATCTAACGACTTTTGACCTTTTGGTAATACCGAGTATGGAGAAGTTGGGGACGTTAGGCCTATCTAGCAATCAATAAATGCACGTGAGCTTTCGGTCTCCCTTGTCGTAAACGCTATCCAACAACGTTATCTGCGATTGTAGTTCAGGTAGCGGGACTAGAAAATCATAAATCAGTCTGTATTGTAACCAACAAACAGGATGACAACTCACCGCCAAGAACAGAATGATGAGATTAGACCCGATAAAGGCAAGGAAGATCCCCAGGTCCCGCCACCGGGTATCAAAGCTCATAGAAAAGGTACTGTAGAACTCATCCCCGATCTTATACGCACAGTACTCGCAAGCCTGCGTCGAGTTGTCGGCCAGGTATCCCAGCCCGCCCCGCTCGAAGAACGGCCGCATGTACTCGCCGCAGGTCAGATTTTCCGGGGCCTGGAAGCGGTTATACTCGCTCGGGGCGCAGGAGACGGTGCGGCCGTGCAGCTCAGTCGTGACCATGCCGCTGATGAGGCGGGTGAAGGGGACGAGCTGGTAGAGCCAGGCGCGCCAGAAGCCGGGCATCTGGGGTTTGGGGATGGCGACGCCGCAGAAGAGCGAGAAGATGATGACGATGGGCGGGTTGATCTGCGAGGCGATGAAGCTGTTTGGCGTCAGGGCGGAGATCATCTGGCCCAGGGTTACGGAGAAGAGTTCGGTGATGAGGACCATGAGGAATTGGTAGCCGGCTCGGCTGGAGGCGGCTTGGAAGCCCGGGATGTAGTAGAGGGGGAGGAAGAAGCAGACGGCGCAGATGATGCTATAGGGGAGCTCGGCGATGACCATGGACAGGGCGAATGCGAACTGGCTGTATGATTTGCAGGCGGATTCGCGGAAGAAGACGAGTCGCGAGAACTCGAAGCGGGGTTCGACCTGTTGGAGGATGATGGCCGGGAGGACGGTCACGTTGAAGATGACGAAGATTCGGTATTGGAGAGAGGCGCGGGAGTCGTCTAGGTTCAGGAATGCGAGACCGGTGACCAGGGCGATGACGACGTGGTTGAATAGTCGTGTGAAGCCGTAGTTCCTCGATCGCCAGAAGACGATGTTGGTTCGCTTGCAGACGACCTTGATCTGGTGCCACAGTGGCGTGGCATACTCCTTGACAACAACCTGCGAGCCGCTGCTCTGTCGGACCTCCTCCGCACGCTGAGCCTTAATCTGAATAATCTCCCTTTTGACCTGCTCCAACTCGGGAGATGTGCGCCAGATCTGGCCCCAGTCTCGATCTCCAATTCGGCGAGTCTGGCCTGCACCGATGGCATCGAGCATCCATTCTGCCGGGTTTGCGTCGGGAGGACAGTCGGCACCGTTGCGGCGGAAGTAATCCAGCAGGACATTGGAGTCTTCTCCAATGTCTCCAAAGTATACACACTCTCCTCCCCTCTGCAGCAGGAGAAGACGGTCAAAGTTATCAAACAGGGCGGAGTTCGGCTGGTGGATGGTACACAGAATTGCCTGTCCGGCGGCGGCAAGTTTCCTCAGGAACCGAATGATATTGAATGCCGACTGACTGTCGAGGCCGCTTGTAGGTTCATCCAGAAAAAGAAGCAGCTCAGGTTTGGCAGCGAGCTCAACACCAATGGTGACGCGTTTTCTTTCTTCGACTGAGAGGCCGGTCTCCGGAGTTCCGATAATCGCGTCGGCAAGATCCTCGAGCTCAAGAAGCTGGATGATGCCCTCGACGTACTCGTACTTTTCGGATCGTGGTGTTTCATAAGGCTGGCGAAGGTCAGCC